TGTGGTGTGTGCAGGTGAGGGGCTGGCTGCAGTCCTCATCTGGAGGACTCCTGCTTCCTTACTACTCACCACTCCACACACACACACACACACACACACACACACACACACACACACACACCTTACAGCCCAATCTAGGAATGTCTGCATATCCAGGCAGCCAGCCAATGCTGCCTGCATCCTTTCAGAGTTGTGCGTCAGCCTGACCATCCTCTTGACCATAAAGTATGGCTCACAGGCTGGATCCATGCTCTGAAGTGGCCTGTTTCATTTGAAAATCAAGGCTAACCTTGAATTCAGCCAAATAAGAATATTTGGCATAAAACTCCAAATTTTTATGTTTTGTGGGAAAAAAAATTAAAGCAAAGTTCAGGCTCAACACAACAAATTCTTTTATTTCATTACTGGCTAGATTTGCAAAAAGCTGCCCCTTTGGACACAGCTTTCCCATGCTCACAGCCTCCACTGCTCAAGTCACTTGTTTCTCTCACCCATGTGGCCCTCAGAAACTTTTGAGTTTGTGACCTCAGGGTGACAGGCCAAATTTGTCACCTGGTGTTCCAGGCCTTCTATGTCTGGGCCTGGTGACCTTCCCGAACCTGTGGTCCCCCCGGCTCACTCTGCCCCAGTCTTTCCTGATTCTGTCCTACTGGCAGCTAGAATAATACATCTACAAATGACAAGCCCTGCCAGGCTGACCCTGAGGGCCCTGCAGGCACACTGGCTTCTGAAGCTCTCCTGGGACACTGACCATTTGCTCTGTGGTCTCATGTCTCAAATACCCACGGAATGCTAAGATCCTCAAGGGCAGGGTCTGTATCTGTCTCTCTGCTTCCCATAGCTCCCTAAATGTAGGACTCCCCCAATAAATACCCACCAGCTAAGATATGATAACTACCTCTCTTCACATTCACAGGTGCTGATTCCACAGCTGTTCTGTCTCCAGGTAGGACCCATGTTACATAAACTCAACATGAAGTTTAAAAAATCATGAGGTTTCGAACCAGACCCTGGTTTAACTCCCAGCTTCGTTCATTCACCCATCTGTTCATGCAGTGGATATTGAATGAGTGTTCACCACATGCCAATAAGCAGTGGGACTACAGCCGTGATCAAAACCCCTCACATCTCCTCTTTCATGGGGTTTGCACCCTAACAGGAAAGACACACATAACATATGATCAACCTCAGTTATGGGACCTCAGGCAAGGAATAGCATCTCTCCATCCCATTTCATCTCGAGTCCCCTTTATTAAAGTAGGAATAACGTACAGGATTGAAGAAGAACCTGAACTTGATAATGTTTAACAATACCTGGCATTTGGCAGGCACTCACACAGCAATAGTTCCTTTTGTTTTGCTTTGTTTTGTTTTGTCATGTGCTCACATAAGGGAGGCAGTGTAGGAGATGGAAAGGGCTCTGAGCTGTAGGCAGGAATCTGGTCCTGGCTGGTCTGTCACCAACGGAATGACCTTGGCCCCAGTCTCCATGTCATTAGAACAGGTGCATTGGACTCCATGGCCCCTAAAAATCTATGCCTTTGACATTCTGTCACCAAGAAAGGAGAATAAGCAGTCATGTGTGGGTTAGCTGAATTCATAAACATTCATGTGCCACTGGAGAAAGCAAGACGTTTTTGTCATAAAACAAAGGTGTAGGATTTATAGTAGAAATAGAGAGACACATTTCCCTCCAACATTTTATTATGAAAATATTCAAACATACCACAAAGTTTGAAGAATTTAACAGTGAAATCCTGCCTAGAGTCTGTGATGAATTTATTCATCCACCTATCATCTCTCTATTCATCCATCAACCCATCTTATTTTTTATTAAGATTTGGCTTCTTTACCATAAAATTGACTCATTTAAAAATCAAGTTTGGTGAGTTTTGGTGATTGTGCAATCACAGTCAAGATATAGAACAGTTTCCTCATCCTCAAAAGCTTTCTCCTTTGTCTCAGAGTTCTCAGCCTCCCCATCACAACCCCCTGCGCTGCCCCCAGCCTGCCCCCCACCCATCATGAGAAACTGCAGGCAGCTTGCCTTGCTTTGTTCAGGTGAATCGCAGCACACCTGGGAGAGGGCAGCAAAGAGGGAGATGAGGGCCAACTAACGGCCTCTAGCACAGCAGGCCACTTGGGGCTCATTGCCCACAAGCTTGGCTTCGGCTAATGGCCACGTGATGCTCGTTTGTGTTAGTTTGTCAACAGGCAGTAATGTTATGTTCTGTCCCAAGTAGGGAGATGAGGTTACTGGCCCTAGAATGCAGGATCATTATTATATTCCTCCTGAATCCTGGGAAGAGACAGGAGCCCCGTTGACACAACTTTGTATCCTCTCCCAATGTCTGACTGCTCCCTGTTGACAGTTCTTCTTTTGTGCCCGTCAACAGCCTATGAGAACTCACTTACCACATCATCGGTGATAGCAGTGGCTCAACACCTATCTTCTTCTGCACCTGCACGTAAGACTGATTCTTTTTGTATCATATCTTCTGATCAATTTTTCCCATTTGACAATGAATGAGTGAATGAATATATGTCACTAAGGATATATAAGGATAGGCAAAAGTAGGTTTACAACTGTGAATACATAAAACACAGACTTTATTCTTGTATTATTTATTAATTATTATATTATTTTTCATATGAACAACTGTAGACCCACCTTTGCCACACCCTGGATAGTGTCACTGGGGATATATATATATAGTGATGAACAAAATAGACCCCCATGTAGGCTACATCCTCCTGAGGGGGTGTGTGACAACCATGTGGTGAATACTGTGATGGGGGAGCACAGAGTGACCAGAAGATGGTCTCCATCCAGACCTGAGGGGCCAGGGCAGGAGGAAATGATATCTAAGCCAAGAGCTGAAGGGTGAGGGGCATCAGGATTGTGCCAGCAGGGGAGAAACCAGGTAGTTAGACTCCCCGTGGGCTGCAGGGTGGGAGGCGTTAATGTGCTTTCTGAATCAGAACACAAGGCTAGCCAATAACTGGAAAGAATTAGTGAAAAACAAGGTGACTCTTGAGGACGTTTTTTTGCTGTGATGAGGAATGAGAGATATTTCAGGATATTGAGCCTTGAGTTGGGTTGTGGTTTTTGACAAATTAGGTTCAGTCTGAGGTCAAATAAGGCAGGAGTAAAACAATGGACCCCTCATTCTCTCGATCTAGCTGTACAGCCAAAAGATTTGGGAGGAGCCATTGTCACTGGCCTGGGGTCTGAGGGCAGCCCTGGTGAAATGGCTCTTGGCCACTGGCCATGGTTTTGGGAGCATGGCCATCAACAGCAGTCCCATTGTTGGCCCTGTGAGTTTTAAATGCCTGAATGCACCCTCCACATCTTTCTTTTTTATGTTAACATTTTTAATGTATCTGTCCAAGCTCTCTTTTTTTGTATTCACTGTTTTAAACTTTTTTAAAAATTGAAGTATAATTCAGATATGACATTATATTTGTTCCAGGTATAAACATAATCAATATTTTGTATATGTTGATGAATAAGCAGCACAATAAGTCCAGTTAACATTTGTGAGCACACAGAGTTCTAGATTCTTTTTCTTGTAATGAGAACTTTTAAGAGCTACTCTTCCCCACATCTTTCTTTTCTTCATTTTCTTAATAACTTTTTGTTTTGCATGCCTACCGTGTACTAAGCACTGAGCCAGGTGATATGGTACATGATAAGAGAACCAGCCATAGTCTCACTTCTTAGGGAGTCTGCATTTTGGGAGGGACACAAGTCTTGCACACAGAAAGCCATACAGAAGAGTGAGATGGTCTATGATATGAAAGAGACCCACATGTTCTTTCTGCACCAGCCCCCCCCTCCCATCTTGACCAAAAGGATAATTCAGTCAGGGGAGAACAATCAGGAAAGGAAGTGAGCTGTCGAGAGCCATTCCCTTGTACCCTGGCTTCTCCTTCCTCCCTCTTTTTTTCTTATTATGCACAATTATTGTGAGCAGCTTCTCTATCACCCTCTCACACAGACTCATCAATGCTGCCCCAAGGGGAAACAACAAGCCCTCAGTCCATGTGACCTTCCAGTCCTCTTCCCAATTCCAAATAGGCAGCAGAGAACTTGGGCCAATTCAGCCCATGCATCAGTTCCTCTGAAGTCAGATGTGCACTCAAGCTGACCAGGCAGATTCAACCATGGGGCACATGGCATTGACCCCATGGCCCCTCCTGGCTTTGGGCAGTACAGGTTATCTAAGAAGGGGATATGGATAGAGAAGACATGTATGAATTATCTATTGCCATGTAAAACCACTCCAAAACACAGTGGCTTGGAACAACCACCATTTATAATTACTCATGAGTCTGTGGGTCAGCTGGGCAGTCCTGGAGAGCTGGGGTAGGCTTGGATGGCCTTGGCTGACCTTAGTGGGCTCCCTCAAGCATTTGTGGTTAGCTGACAGGTCAGCTGGCCTCCAAATCCTGGCCTTGCTCACATATCCTACATTTTCATAGCTGTTATCTGATATGACAGAGGTGACAAGGTCAGGTGTTTTTTATCACTCAGCCCAGTAGCTCAAGCTTATTCAATGATTGTCCCAGAGTTTCCATGGAGACCTCTTGAGCTCTGTATGAGTGCACCACTATTATTGCTCTATTTTATTGGTCAAAACAAGTCACGAGCCACCAACCCAGAACCCAGGGGTAGGCAAATAAGCCTGACCTTTTGAGAGGGGGTGCTATAATGTCACATTGTGAAGAGCCAGGCTATAAGGATGAAAACAACAGGAGCCATTTGTGCGAACAGTTGGCCACAGGCAAACAATCTTCAGACAGGGTGTGGATGAGTCAGACGTTAGAGGCTTCCTAGCTGGGGGGTGGCAGGGGATTCCTCAAGGCAGCAGGAAGGGCGTAAGCAGCAAAGTCATGGGACACAAAGAGAGCTGGGTTGGAGAGAAGGTCGTCCAGCTACCAACAAGCAGAGGGTACTTTTCTCTCCCTGTGACCCCCTCTCCCCGCACTCTCCCCAGGAGGCTGGGCCTCGGTGAGACTGGTGGGCAGCCCTGGGAGCTGCGCAGGTCGTGTGGAACTTTTCTACCAGGGGACCTGGGGGACTGTGTGCGATGACCTCTGGGACCTGCTGGAAGCAAACGTCGTCTGCAGGCAGCTAGGGTGCGGCTGGGCGGTGGCAGCTCCTGTTGAGGCCTACTTCGGGGAAGGTTTTGGACAGATCCTGCTGGACAATGTGCACTGCAGGGGAGACGAGCAGCACCTTGAGGAGTGCACCCACGGCGACTGGCTCTCCCACAACTGTAGGCACGGGGAGGATGCTGGCGTGATCTGCTCAGGTGAAATCCCACTCCCCTCCCAGGCAGCGCCCAGCTTCGGCTCTTCCAAGACAGCACTCACAGCAGGTGCTTTCATGTCTCACACTTACAGATGCTGAACACTGGGCCAACATGCCACCAGGTAGGGAAGGTGACGTCTCCAGGTGCAGCTTATCAAAACCTTGGGGAGGAGCCTCTGCTGGAGATGAGATGTTTCTTACCCTCCAGCTGGGGGAGTGACTGAGATGTAGAAGCCCCCAACTTCTCAATGGAGAGATGGAGAGAACCTTAGAGACCTTCCAGTGCGGGCCCACCTCCCCCCTCTCCTTCTACTGCACACAGGATGCAGACTTCTTGGACTTTTGCGTAGCACTTTCTGTTCATCAGTTCTGAGGGCTGTGTGGGAATGGCAATGAGACATGGGTGGGGAGTGGGTAAGATACGAGAGTCAGTTAAGGATGTTTCCTGCCCAGGGGCAGATGGCTGGTGGGCCATACCTGGCCAAAATCAAGGTGACCCAATTCTGTCCCCACCCTCTCCTTGCGTCTGCCTTGTTCCTGGTTCAGCCCTGGCCCCACAGGGCTACCCTTTCTGCTGGTCTCCCACATGCTCTCAACGCCAACACCCGGAGCTTTTCATACCAAGCACCATCTTTCCGTCCTCAAACCCCTAGGTCCCTGATTGCCTGCCTTTAGCCAGCTATGAATGAAGCTGGGTGGACAAGGTCTAGTGAAGCTTCAGTCATATCCCCTCCTGGGTTATCACCTCTATTAGGTGGGAATAACCTCCAATGGGAGGTTCTGGGCCAAGTGTCATTGGTTGGACAGATGTTGGGGACATGGAGGAAAATCCATAGCATCCTTAGGCCCTGACTCACCATCTCTGAGCAGCAGATCAAAGGGATCATGAATCAGTACCTCTTGCTATTCTTACATCGAAGCCTTGTAACTCCAGGCACTTGGGTCATTGGAATTGGCTACAGGGGCCAGAATTTTGCATCTTTCATTTTTTTAACCACCCTCACAATTTAATGTCTTATTTGTGTATCTGACAAGAGACCAAGGCACCAACATCTGGGGCAGATCTAGGTCAATGCTTCTCCCCCACACATTACCCCCCTCCATGCTCTGGCCTCTCTCCCAGAGACTGACTCCATAGTTCTTGGAGGGGCTCACACAGTGTGTAAGCCCCCCCACATCTCATATGCAGATGGGGGTGGGGACCTCAGTGCCCACTGACCATATGTATGTCCTCTGTGTGTTTGACAGGTCACCCATTGGCTGTCATGGAAGGGACGATCCCTGAAGGTGAGGCTTTGGTCACAAAAGTGTCTGATTTTTGGAAAAAAAAAAAAGTGAAAGATATGTGAATTACAAAATTAGTGAACTGATTCATGAAAAAATGGAAATTCTAAACTATCTTTCTGCCCGTAGGAAAATCCCAGTGTGGCAGGGTTATTACCAACTCATCGGGAGCCATCAGAAATCCGCCGCAGAACAAAATGCATGACAACATAACATGTGTCTGGGAGATCAGGGCAAACGCATCTGACCACGTACTGCTGGCATTTCCGTACCTCAAGTGAGTCCTGAGTCTGTGACGTCAGTACGTGGTGCACTCCGAAAGTCCAAGCACTTATTTCCTCGGTTGGTTCTCACAACTAAAAGAGTCCTTCCTGCCTTTAAGTTTTGCTTTGAAATAATTATAAACATATAAGAAGTTTCCAAAAAATGAGCTCTGTGTACCCTTCACTCAGCTTCCCCCATTGGTGGTACCTTAATATAACTAACTGTAGAACAATATCAAAAGCACAAACTTGACATTAGTGCAATACTGTGATCTTGACTATAGACTTCTTACTCAGTTTTCAGCATTTTTACTTGGATGTGTGAGCATATATGGGTGGGCATGTGTGTGACAGACACTAGGATTGAGATTAAGACTCTGTGTGTGTGTGTGTGTGTGTGTGTGTGTGTGTGTGTGTGTGTGTGTGTATTTCAGCCTGCTGGCTAAAGATGCAGATTCCAGGGACCCACAGGCCCAATAAACCAGAAAAATCTCAAATTTTAATGTTGTAGTTAAGGTTGATGTTCTTCATAGGTGAATGTTTTATGAAACAACCTCCAGGAATAACTTGAATTACATACTACTCTGGAATTTTGCTTAATGGAACAATAACTTGGAGCAGAGGGCTCATGAGCTGAGCCACGGAAATGGGCTTCTGATTGTAGCACTTAGCAGCATGTCGATAAAACTTCACAACACACCACAGAAGAAAACAACTGCTAAAATCAGGCAGCTTCCACAAAGCAAGCCGGCAGATTGGTATCGAGCTGCCCTCTGGGCAGGCTGGCTGTCGAAAGTCGACACGTGGCTTGTTCGGAACCTGGAGCCACCTCCAATACTGGCAGATGGAGCAGCCTCTGCCACCTTCTGCCCAGGAGATCGATTGGCTTGGTTCATCTGGCTCTGCCCTTGGTCCTGGGCTTTGATGTGCCCTGCAGCCTTGGTCTCAGCAGGGATGTACCTAGAGCGTCAGCCTCCTCTTTCCTGTTTCAGTTAAAAACCTATTTCTTCTTGGAGAGGAAAAGTGATAGGAAAGGAACCCATCCTTCCTTTTTACTGCCTGACAAGCTTTTAATCTATCCCCAGCTCCTTCATAGTAGCCGCCTGAAGGGCGGCCTCACAGCACACCCCGCAGGTCTGCTGGGGAGGAGACCGAGACGCTCACCCCCGCCCCCATCACTGTTTCCTCCCCCAGCCTGGACTGTACCAATGAATATTTTGAAATCCTGGACGGTCCTCCATCCTCAGCAAAGTCCCTGGGGAAGACCTGCTTTGGCTTCTACCTCACCTACTCGTCCTCCTCCAGCTCAATGACGCTGAAGTACTTCCGAAGCTTCAACAACATAGGAAAAAACTTCATTGCTTATTACTATTCCACAACCAAAGGTAAGAATGGTGGGTGAGATCAAGTGCCGGGAGCTGGGCTGTCTGCCTGGGGACAGTTATAGTCCCATCTCTACTCTGGGACCTCGAGACTTGACCTCTCTATGCCTCAGTCCCTTCCCTGTGGAATGGGGACAGTGGTGTGACCTTCCCGCTAGGTTTGTTGTATGCCTACCTGACATGACACAAGTAAAACACTTACTGTGGGACATCAGAAATGTGCAGAGATTGGCAGCTGCACCAAGACCATTTAGTTTTATGTAAGCACCTTGCTAAGGTCACCTTGGTAGGAAGCCATGTCTGCAGTTACTGCGGACCTCAAGTGGGGGTGTTAGTTCCTCCACAAGAAGGTGTTGGTGTCAGCCTCAGAGGCTCGTGCACAATGCAGAGTGAGTTGCAGACAAACTCGGTGACACAATTAGAAGACAAATAAAATATAGTAGATTAAGGCAAACAAACAGAACATACTAAATTAATGTCGGCATGCATCTCAGCCAAAGACATAAGGAAAGAGAAACGCTTACAGTACAAAAAAAGTGTTAAGGAAAATATAGGAAACAACCTCAGATTTGTCTTTAAACCCAGCAAGGCTGTGAATACAGAGACAGGTGGCAGGCAAGGTAGGTGAGAGCTGCACCAGTGCACAGATGAGAGGGATAAGGTATGTGACAAGAAGACAGACGGGAGCTAAGTCAAGGGTTCTGATAAAAGGCAGGGTACTCAAGGTCAGGTCATGACCGCAGCAGTGATCAAAATAACAGCTGGCACTCAATGAAAGCCTATTTAGTGCCAGACAGCATTTTAAGCACTTCTCATGTGTTACCTTCTTTAATCCCCACACATACTCATGGTTCTTCCCCTTTTACAGATGAGGAACTGAGGCTTAGAGAGTCATTAACTGTTTTGAGGTCACCCAATAATGGGTCCTTCACTATTTACCATTAAGAGAAGAGGCTAAACTCATGGATGGTTCTCGTAGCATCCACCTTAGCTTGTTCAAATGGTCTTGTAGTAAGCGCCAGGGTGACTCACTGAGAAAGTGTGGGAAACATGCTATAAAACACAGTGGGGAAGCTCTATGTCACAAAGTAGACCCAGGGAACTCACCATCATTGACATTAATTAATTATTGATGATGGTTTCCTTGTATTTGCAGAGCCGGTTTCACAGACCCCAAGCCTGATCGGTGAGTCACATTTACCACTGCTACATAAAATCTTCATCCCTGGTTCATGGTTCTCCCTCTGTCCCCACTCCTGGTGCTTTTACTGTCACAGTTTGATCTTTCACACACATCTCTAATTTCCTGCACAAATCTACCGGAGCTGAGGGATTCTGTCCACACGCTTTTGCACAAATGTAATGCTCATTCACAGGGGAACAAAGTCACGCATATCAACAACTGGGTCATAGTCATCATTGTTGACTTGATTTCCTATCAAAAAAACAATGCAACACACCTAATCAGACACTCCACATTTCGGGAAAGTTGACAGCAATAAAATGAAGCCAAAGCATGCTGAGAAATGGCCATTTTCCCCAGAGGAACTTGATGGTGAGTGTGTTTTAGCACAGAAGGGCACAAATTGTATTTCTAGTGACTGGGCAGCAAAGGGGAATATTGTTTCCATTGGATCCCACACACTTGAAAAACATCAAGACCTGCATGTATAGAAGGTCTGATCTCAGAGGTTACTTCTTATAAAGATGACAGGGAGAGGAATCTGCCAGAATCTTCACATTGAGTGAAGAGTTATCTCAGAATGCTGCCATCTTGTCTCATCCCAGTTCTCCCTTTGTGTTTAAGAATATTTTCTTGTATCCACAGCAATGCCAACAACAACACCCACGATGGTAACAGCAAGACCAGGTAAGCCCTGCGGGGCATCCTTGCTCTTTACCAGCTGTCCTTTCCTCTTGGCACCTGCATCTATAGCTACTTCAGAGGCAGAAACTGGGCAAACTGCAGGTGGTCTGTCTATTTGCAAAAGGACCAGTTGACTGTAGCCAGACTTTTTAGAGCCATTCAAAACTACTAGGAACTTTTGTCTCTAGCATTCCAGGGTGAATACCAAGTTCATTTTCTCAGAGCCTTTCAAAATCATGAAACTGAGCAAGTTACAATGCCTTCTAGTACGATTGGATCTTTACATGGCTAGTCGTGATCATAATTAAGCTCATATCCACATCATTCGTAGACTTTTTAAAAGGAAGTAGGGTGTCAGAGCCGTCCCAGTGGCAGTGAGATAGAATAGCAGAGAAGAAAGGAAAATGGTGAACTTTGGAAGTAGGAGACCTGCAACTCAGATGTGGGATGTGAGGTGACTCACTTTGCTTCTCTAGCAGTTTCTCCAGAGATAAACTCAGTGTGCCAGTCCTCCCACGAAACACCTCACAAAGCCACACACCACAGTGCATATTATTTATAATGTTCTTCTGCATTTGGCCGAAACAGATTGGCACATGTCTTTGACCCCATAGCTACTCAGTTCATGACCATTTTAGGTTAAATGGTATTTGGACCACCCTGATGATCTATCAGACCTCCAACCAGGAGATTGACTAGTTGACTGACCTTTACCAAGTTCTCCAACCCTAATAGGATAGCAGGGGCAGGGAGCTCAGCCAGCTCACGGGAAGTGTGTGCTGTCTCCAGAGGACAGTGGTCACCGGGTCTCTGCCTGCAGGGGACTGGCCCGAGCTTCGACTTGTGGGCGGCTCAGGTCGGTGCTCAGGACGAGTAGAGGTCCTCTACCAGGGGACCTGGGGCACCGTGTGCGACGACCTGTGGGACCTGAATGAAGCCGAGGTCGTGTGCCGGCAGCTGGGCTGTGGTCAGGCTGTGTCCGCCCTCGGGCAGGCCCACTTTGGCCCAGGATCTGGAGACATCCTCCTAGACAACCTCCAGTGCGCCGGGGTGGAGCGCTACCTGGGCCAGTGCGCCCACTCAGGCTGGGCGGAGCACAACTGCGGCCACCACGAGGATGCTGGTGTCACCTGCTCAGGTATCCTCTCCTCTTTCATATAGTTACTGCCAGTTTCAAAGAACTTCAAGACCTCACTGCTGGAATTCAAAGTCATCCAGGGAGAAGACAGGACATTCAAACACATATCATTTGATTTTTGCTTCAGCTCTTCTCACTTGGTTAAACAGATAAGATTTTAAGTGTTAGCCTTTCAGAATATACCTCCTCATTTTCTAGTTTGGTAGTAAGAATTACCAAAGGTGTGTGTGCTTGACTGGATACAGACATGTGCAAAGCATATGTTTAATTATGGAAATTTTTAATATATTTTTTAAGATTGTATTTATTTATATTTTAGAGAGGGGAAAGGAGGGACAAAGAGAGGAAGAAAGACACCAGTGTGTGGCTGCCTCTTGCGTGCCTCCATCTGGGGACCTGACCTGCCACCCAGGCCTGTGCCCTGACCAGGAATCAAACCAGAGACCCTTTGGTTTGGAGGCCGGCTCTCAACCCACTGAGTCACACCAGCCAGGGCTAATAATGGGAATTTTTAGGAAGTATATCAGCAGGCTTTCCCTTCAGAGGGCAACTGGTATAGTCCCATTAGGGAAGAATTCACAGCTGGAAAGAACTGAGTCTGGATCTGAGAGCTGGTGCCAACACTCAGCTGCACTGGCAACATATAGACCCCCAGTTTCATCACCTGTAAAGTGAGGAGGCTAATTACTGTTTGGCAGAATTGCTGAAGGGTTCGCACTGTCTTCTGTAAAGCGCTGTCATAGCACCTGGCCAGGGGCCACGTGTTTGGCACTTTTCACCACCATTTTCCTCAGTCACACCACCGAGGAAATCGGTGACCTAAAACGGCTCATTTTAATCACCTTGTGACAATGTTTAAAAACTCTGTAGACTTACGTGCAAACAATTAACTAGGAATAATTGAGTCCCCTCTGGAATGTCTATTAATACCCCTCTTTGATAATGGGATGCTTTTCATAAACTAGCCCCCATAATGCCTAATGCGACTAGATAAATCAGTAGCCATAACTCAAAGTGGCCCTTGTCGTAGAGTTGCCCATGTGAGGAGGAGCTCAGTCGTACGTCGGTGCCTGCTACCTGTGACTTCTGATTGGGGGCACATAGTTATAATTATTGCCTTGTTTGCTGTGCATTCATTTGTCCATCTTTTTGCTTTGTGGCATCAGGTCATGTGTGGCCCAACAGCCTCATGTGGGGGGGGGCACATGTCATTCCCAAGTTTTGTTCTGGAGGGTGACCGTCTAACTCTGAGGGGCCCCCAAAGACTTCCCAGAGTGAAGCTCCTCTGCCACAAAGTCGGCACTTTGAGCCACGTCATTGCAAGCATGCCCGTGACATCTGGCCACGGTCTCCAGACCCCGAGCAGACTGGCAACCAGGCCAAGCTTCCCGCCAGGCCCATGGGGGAAACTGCTTCTCCCCAGATGAAGTCAGTTAAAGGCACTAACGCTCCCTGAGTCAGATCAATACACTCTTATAAGGATGTAATTAAAAATCTTTGTCTTCAGTTATGAAAAAGCAGGACTTCTAAAAAATACTGACCTAATGATTCTCTGTGTGAACAGATGGGGAGGAATCCCTTATTAACAACCCAGGTAGGTCACACTTTCTAAACATTTTTTGATGGGACTAAAATGGCAGCCGTCTTGGTTGGCCCTGGGCCAGTTTCTTCTCCCACCTCAAAGTTCACCCGCTCTCTAAAGTGCAGAGATTTTCTCACTGTTGAGAAGTCATTAAAAGTTTCATCTGGATTTATTACTTCTGATTTCTTTTTACATGTGCTGGTGACTGTGTGTATAAGGGAGAGATTTACATGCAGGAATAAAATGGCATTTCAGGGTTTTTTTGTGTGTGCTTTCCCCTCTGGCTCGCAGGCCTTTCCCAACTCCCTCCCTGACCAGCTCCTTCTCCCTGTTTTCCCATCCAAGTATTAACCAGGCGCAATCCCGCTTAGCTTCCAGGATCAGACAAGATCAGGTGCATTCAGGGTGGTATGGCCCTAGACTACTTCTCCCTGTGTTAAGGGTCTTCGCAGCCCAGACTGCCTCTCCGCATTGTTCTCTCTGCTCTTTCCCTTCACTGCCTGGATCACAGTGTGAAACAGTGCATTGGACTTGTGTCCATATCTGACTAATACGTAGGCTTTAGACTCCCCAAGGGTGGGAATCATAGCTCTTTGATTTAAGCAGTGTCAACAGTGCCTGACATGAAAGGCAATCTCTCAGAACCACTGAAATAAAATTAAACTGGCTAAAGACACCTGCAACTCAGAAATACAGGAGCAACATGGGGCACAGGCCCCAAGGCTGGAGAGCAGGCCATGTTCTTCCCTGACCCCATAGTCTTCCCGGTCACAGAGGCCTGGTGCTGGTGGACACCAGGTGGGTCTTTTGGGGACTCACACTTCATCCTTGCCTGCAGGGAGCTGGCCAGAGATACGGCTGGTGAATGGCTCAGGTCGGTGCTCAGGACGAGTAGAGGTCCTCTACCAGGGGGCCTGGGGCACCGTGTGCGATGACCTGTGGGACCTGAGTGAAGCCAAGGTCGTGTGCCGGCAGCTGGGCTGTGGTCAGGCTGTGTCTGCCCCTGGGCAGGCCCACTTTGGCCTGGGATCTGGAGACATCCTCCTGGACAACCTCCAGTGTGCTGGGGCGGAGCACTACCTGGGCCAATGCACCCACTTGGGCTGGGCAGAGCACAACTGTGGCCACCATGAGGATGCTGGTGTCACCTGCTCAGGTAACCTCCCCCTTCTCAGGCAATAATTTCCGTGTTGTATATGAATGCACTTTGAAACCATGTATCCCAGATGAAATTTTCATCCACTCACCCATCAATTCTTTCACCGAACAATCCTTAGCTCTACCCTGGCCCTGGGCTTCGACCCAGGTCCTGCCATGGGCAGCTCCAGGTCGCACGTGGGAGGTCTCAAACGTTTGTGTGCACCAGCACCACCTGGGGCATCACAATGCAGAATCCAGGGCCCGACCCCAGAGATGATGACTAACTCAGTTTGAAAAGGGGCTCTGGAATCTGCATTTTAACAAGTATTCCAGGTGATTCAGCATTAGAGGGGCCACAGACAAGCCATCCCTGACTCCCGAGAAGCAGTCCCCTCCAGCTGCTGTGCCCTGGCCCCTGAGACCAAGGACCCTGCCAGAGGAGAGCTGGAATTGCCCATGGGGAAGTTCTGGTGCTCTGGTTTCATACCCAGAAAGACCATGGTCCTTTCCCTTCACCCCCACACATGCCCCTCTTACCCCACATCCTCCCTGCTTTGAATTCACTAAGGAGAGTGACCTGTTGCCTTTCTTCATGCACCCAGATTCAGAAGACCTGCCTCCTCCCACACCGCCAGGTAGGTCCATATTTTTCTAGTCCAAGCAACTTAATGATACTAATGATGTCAAATACATATAAATTTTGAGAAACAGATGCTATTCTGAGCTCTTTGCATTAATAATTCATTTAATCCCCACAATAACTCTTGAGGCAAATACTTTGATTTTTACCATTTTGCAGATGGGTAATTGAGACAAGAAAGTTAGCAGTGTATCCAGGACTAGCTAGTGGATTTGCACCTGAGCTGTGGGTGCCCTTGGGCACCAGTCTCATTTACTACATTTGTCTCTTGGTCCCACTACACAAAGACCAGGCAAAACTAGAGCAGAAATGGGGAGACATTGCTTGGATAATCGGCGATCCCCAGGACAGTCCTGCAAGAAGGGCATTTGATATGATATTTCACAGAAGAAAAATGTGGGAGACGGGAAGTTTAAGTAGCTCTCCTAAGCTCACTCAGCAGGTGAATGGCAGAACCAAGTTTTGACACTGATCAGCCTGACCCTAAGAACATGCTCTTGGGGATTTTATGACCTTCATCTCAAAGCTCTTACAACTTAATGATTAAATGGTATTCATCTGTAGTAAAAAGCAAAGATTAGAAAAAGCAGACCAACACCTGTGGTGTAAATTCTGAAGTGATGCTGGGGACGAGTGAAAAGGCATCTCCTTGTACAGCAGCAGACATTTCTGAGCTTCTGTGTGGCAGCAGGCATCCTGCTGGGGGGGTTCTGCACAGCTGGTTTATTAGATCTTTGCTGCCGAGGACTAGGTAGATGGAGAATCCTACTGAAGATAACTCTATTACACAGTGTCAGAACTGGCATTTTCAAGCCCTGTCTCTTGCTCTTTGAATGCACCTGGCTGTCCACACAGAGCCTCAGAGAACACGCACAGGTCACAGGTCATTGGCAGAAGCATCTCTCTTGGGCACTTGCCTGGAGAAAACCTTGATGTGTTCTGGGCATTCCTGGGGATGACCAGCTTTGTGTGTTGGGTCATGAGTGAGAGGGGGAGGGCTGTCTAAAGTCCAAGGGCCATGGTTAGGGTCAAGGGCAGTGAATATTCAAACGAACATTCATCTGTAGTTTTCTTATTTCATGTAACTCAGCTAAGCTTAAAATTCCATGCAAGACAGGGAAATGAAGAAGGCCACACTGAGTGAAATGAGCGATCTGGTTATCACTGTCAACACCTCCACCCTCATTTTTTTTTCCTTTCTAGGTCTTTCTACAGCTTCTCGGGATCATATAACAGGTAATCACTTGCTTTACATTGAAATGGTAACTGCATGCTAAAAGAACCCTTGAACTAGACTCTGGGCTGTGTGCCCAGGCCATGGCACAAGGAGACTGGCACAGTGAAGGCCAGGACAGCCAGGGCCTCAGCTGGAGGAGCCCCTCCATCCACACCATGGCCTTGCTGAGAGACGTGGCATCAGGACATCTGATGCCTGTTAATATTGACTTTAACAAAAGGAGCAGGCTTAGAAGGGGACATGCAGACCTGCCCGGATCAGAGCAGGCAGGAGGGTGACCAGAGACTTGAAAAGCATGTGGCTCAGTCCATCTGGCCACACTCAGCCTGCCTTTTCTGAGTGCAGCCCTGGAGTGGCACTGTGACAGGCACCAGTTCATCATCCCCTACCATGTGCAGAGGTTTCAGGAAGTCCAAGTCCCAGGGTGAGTCTGACCTGTCTCTGGTTTTAGAACCTACAGCACAATCAACACTAGAGCTATTTGAGGACTGGGTGCCTCACCATCCCACATCCATTGCAGAAAAGGCCAGAAATCTGTGGGATTCTGGGATGATTCCAAGTTGGCCAGAGTGAAGGTGTGGGGGACAGAAAGAATAAAATTAAGTAACTTAATAATTTAGGGAGAAGGTCTGTAAAGTGCATTATGTGTTCAGATTTTCTCTAAAATAATTGAATGATTCTGTGCCCTGTTTTTTTATGTGGCATGTTGCTTTACACATGCATTTTATATTTACATATGTATTATATGTGTGTGTAAGTGGAATCTATTTATATTAATAAGATAATTTATATGGAAGGATTAGATCTCACTGTTATCTTGTTTAACCCTTATAAATCTAAAAACCTTTAAGTTTCAGTCTCAATAGATATTGAGTGGAGGAAACACAGCTTACCTAGAAAAAGTGATGAAAAGTACTTAAAAGGAGGTCCCGGTCATAACTTCCCCAAAGAGTCCATGACATTCCCCTCTGTGTCACTCATTTGTCAGACCACAAAATTGTTCTAGAGCCTCTTGTCCCCCAAACCTCCTCTTCCCCAGGCACATTACAGCGCCTGGTTCTTTGTCCCTCCTCTTGACCTCTCATGCACCTGTATCTCTTGTGGATTCTTCCTCTCTCCCATCAAGCAAGGCACCTTCCAATTCAGAAAGAGGGAGAGATTGTAAACGGGCTGGACAAATATAATATTTTCTTTATCAGATGATAAGGGAGAGGGAAAGGCAGGGAACTCTCACACATTAGTACTTTCTGAGTCATCAGAATCAGAACCAAAGGACTCTCCTGGCCAGGAGACATTTAGGCTAAATGTTCTATTCAGACAGCCTGGGTGTGTGTCCCCACCCAGGGGCCACTGCTAAGGCACCCAGCTGAGGGGTGGGAGCTGCCCATTGCTGAGGTCACACAGGGACACCTTGTGAACAGATCCTAATGTCTTTTGTCTTGCTGTTTCAGGAGGAAGTAACTCTTGTGGAGGGGTCATTTATGGTCTCTCTGGATCATTTTCTACTCCCCGGTATCCAGAAAACTACCCGACAGACATCCAGTGTGTTTGGGAGATCCACGTGGATAAAAAATTCCGCATAAAACTCCAGATTCTGAGTTTGAGGTAAGAAAACGACTTTTTAGGGAAAGAGTCTATCTAAATAAGAGTATTGGCTTGTGAAACCATAATAAAGATAGTTATTTAAATGGAAAACCTTTAGGGATAGAACTGGAAGAAACATGGATTTTTTTCTATGTTGAAGCTGGGGTTAATTTTGTAGTGCTAGCCAATGAGTCACTTCTACTTTGAAAAATTCAGTGTTATTTATTACTATATTTGTTAGCTTATTCTGATAGTTTTTCAATATTTTATTTTGCTAAAAATGCCACAAAAATCCTCCTCACCAGCTTTGTCCTTTTTGTACACTGGGTACCAATATTTGTCCTCTTGGACCCATCCTTGTATGCTGATGTTATTATTTTAGAAGCATGTTTTTTTCTACCCAAGAATTTGGATATGGAAAATGTTGTGAAATGCAGAGGTAGAAAAAACTGGCTGCAATGTCGATTACATACTGGTCATTTGGCTGCTGAGAACTTTTTTGCAGTGCACATTGGCATCTCTTGATGTTTCCTGCAGGTTGTGACTGGCTGAAATTGTGATTTTAAAATTTCTGTTACTATGTTAAGTCATAATTATTGGTCTCACTCTTTCCTCAGGCAAAGAAAATAAGAGTTCTGATAATAAGGCAACTGAAAAAGTTCACCGATATTTTATATACACATGTGCAATTTAAAATGTAATCCAAACATTTCATCCTACAATTGCTTTAAGGTCTAGAAAGTTCTAGCATGCTGCTAACCTCCACTTTGATTCCTGCAGCCTGGAAAGTATCCCTGGATGCCTCTACGACTCAGTCGAAATCTTCGATGGCCCCAGAATTGCTGCGCTCTCCATGGGGAAGTTCTGCACCCCAGCAACTCTGGCATTTCTGTCCTCCTCAGACATCATGACAGTAGTGTTCCGAAGTGACGCTATGGTCACCAGCACTGGCTTTCATGCTGTGTTCAATGCGACCCCACAGGGCGGAGGAGAGTCAGGTAGGAAGCGTCAAAGGGTCTTTAAAGGACAGCACAGTTTTCTAAGTTGAGGGACTTCCCAATTAGCAGGTGCCTGAGATTCAGTTTTAAAAGACCCTCCCACTTCTGCCCTGGCCAGTGTGTCAGGTGGTTGGAGTGTCAACCTGTAAACCAGAAGGTTGTGGGATCATTACGAAGTCAGGGCACAGACCTACATTGTGGGTTTGTTCCCCAGCCAGGGTGCGTAGGACAGGCAACCAATTGATGTTTCTCTTGCTTCACTGTTTCTCTCTCTCCCTCCCTTCTCCTCTCTCCAAAGTCAATAAGCATGTCTTAGAGCAAGGATTTAAAAACAAAGAAACAAACAAAAAACCCTCACACTTAGGCCCATCAACTCTGCCCCGTAGCTGCTGGGTTTCCCCACTGAGTGTCACGTGGGCAGCTGCAATGGGGCAGGTGCTGTATGCCAGCCTGCTTGCGGATGGGCAGGCTGCTAGCTTCCCCTGGGGAAAGGAAGCTGTGTGCTCTGGAGGTCTTATGCCTGTGTCCTCACTCCACTCCATGTTGGAACTGTCCAGAGTGCTGAAACCCACAAGGCCAAACTTTCCCAAAGACTCCACTTCTCTCCCCAAGCTGACCCACCTCATACCCTAGACTCACCCAAACGACAGGCCTGGGGAGTCTTTCAGCTATGGCCCTATAGCCTCTCATTCCAGAGCCAAGTTCAATTTTCCCCCAGCAAGCATACCACCTGCTGATTGTGGGGCCTCTGATGCTCAGGGGCCCTCATAAGAATCCCCATAATTTTTTCAGAAAGCCACAAACATGGGAACTGGAAATGCTTTCTAATTAAAACATTCCAAGCTCACAAATGAAATCCTGTTCTGTTTAGAAAATGTACCGAAGCTGCGGCTGGTGGACGGGTCTGGATGGTGCTCAGGACGAGTAGAGGTCCTCCACCAGGGGGTCTGGGGCACTGTGTGTGACAACCTATGGGACCTGAGTGAAGCCAAGGTCGTGTGCCGGCAGCTGGGCTGTGGTTGGGCTGTCGCTGCCCCTGGAAAGGCCCACTTTGGCCCGGGCTCTGGCGACATCCTCCTGGACAACATCCAGTGCTCAGGAAGCGAGGACCACCTCGGCCAGTGCTCTAGCTCTGGCTGGTCAAACCACAACTGTGGCCACCATGAGGATGCTGGTGTCATCTGCTCAGGTAGCCTCCCCCTATGGCAGGTTCTTTCTGATCTTTCAGACTATGGCATCTTGGTGATGGGTGGAGGTTGTGCCCAGAGCAGGGCCATGGAAGCTAAGAACTGTGGGCCGACAGATAAATGTCCCTCAGCCAGGTTGACAGAGAATGCTGGGAGTCTGACTCCATTCTGCAGTCACACACAGGAGGACCACAGAATGGGCAGGCAGGTCCTGTTCTCTGCAACTTCTCCCAGAGTCTAAACATGCCTTTCATTCTTGCTTGTGTGACATAAAACCTGTCTACTTGAGACCTGCCCATGCTAGAAAATCACTTCTTTGTCTTCATTAAATTGAACTTAGATTTTATAAATTTACCCTTTTTCATGCCAGCAGATGCTGGGGACTTGGATCCAGATGTCACTTCTACACCCCTAGGTAGCTTGGATGCAATATCTCTGCAAAGTGAATTAGAAGTCTGACCTTCATCCTGACCCACACCCTGGGAGTTAGCGACCTAGACACTAAACCAACCCCTCAAGGAGCTTTTAAAATTCCCAAGGTCCAGGCTGCACACTGGCCCAGTCACACCAGAATCTCTAGGGTCACACTCGGCCATCAGCTATATTCAAATCTTCCCATGGGATTCCAATGTGTTGCAAGGTTGAGAACTAGTGGCCTGGACCATAAGCTAAGAGCCACATCTCCCTAATGAAATGACATCAAAAGACTGTCCTCTCAGGACAGCAGAGCAAGGAAGGGCAGGTTCATTCATTTGGACTTTAGTGGAAAATGATTTTATGATGCTAAGCTCTTTCCTGATTGTCTTGGGGTTTGATTTTTGCAGCTGCTGTTCCTCAAGCTTCTATCCCACAAGGTAACTCTCCTTCAGTGCGCATAGAACCTGTAAAGGATGGAATCTTTATGGTAATTCATAAAAGTAGAGTAACATCAGTCGGTCCTGGCCTCCCTGAGAGGGAGGAATTGGTGGGTTGGTGCCCTCACAAAAGGGTTGTAAATTCACCTGGTTTGCACAGCAGGAAGCCAGGGAGAGTTTTAATGAAGTATGGGATGGGCACCCACTCCTACCACATCCCTGTCCAATCCCATCCCCAGTCTCACCTACACAATCAGTTGAGGGAGCACCTCCATCCTTCCCCCTCCCTCAGTCCCCCAAATGGTACAATCACACACCAGCCAAGCCACAGCTGTGTCTACACCAGCATGACCCATTCCCATTTAGTGATTCACTGTTGAGCTTGGTGGGATTGTGGCTTCTACACCTGAGAAAATGTAACATGCAGTCCTGAAAATGCTATCTGTGGGCCTCTTGTCTGCTTTTACAGAAGGAAGTCACTCTTGTGGGGGAGTAATTTCAAGTCTGTTTGGCTTCTTCTCCAGTCCTTGGTTCCCTACAAACTACCCCACCGACATGCAGTGTGTCTGGGTCATACACGTGGCTGAGACGTTCTACATTGAACTGACCATCCCAAGCCTGAAGTAAGCAGCATGGCCCTTCTCTGCTTCATATGCCGGGTTAGATCAGAATTCATGCTTTCCTCAAAGACTCCACTTCTGTGTCTTAGTCTGTCCAGGCTTCTATTAAAAAAAATGCCATAAACTGGGCAGCTTCATAAACAACAGACATTTCTTTCTTATAGTTTGGAGGCCAGACAGTCTGAGATTGATACAGTAGCAGATTTAGTGTCTCGTGAGGGACCATTTTGTCACAGATGGTGGTCCCTTCCCTATCATCTCCTATAGCAGAAGGGACGAGGGACCTTTACTGGGATGCTTTGTAAGGACACTAATCCCATTTGTCAGGGTGCCATGCTCATGACCTAACTGCTTCCCAAAGGCCCCACCTCCTAACACTGTTACACTGGAGGTTAGATTCCAACATATGAAGTCTAGGAGACACACACATTCAGTCTATGGCGCTATGTGGCAAATCCTTTTACATTTTAGGTGAAAATTGGTCTGGTCCTCTGAGTTTAGGGGAGTCTTTTTATCACTGAGCTCAATGGTCTATTCAGGTAGAGAATATCTCACAAGCATTTCTGCCACCAAACCAACAAGCCTCAGCCGAGGTGACCCACCATGAAGACCTTGCCCCTCCGCTCTCGGCCCCTGCTCCACCTGGGGACACAGTGTCTTCCTCTGGCTAAACCCACATCTGTTCTTCTCTCCCATTTTCTGACCTACATTCTTCCCTGCGATGATACACAAAACAAATCTACCCCCACCCCTTCTCTATCGAAGACTTTTCCCTCATAAATTCCATAGCCTCAGTTCACTCATTTCTTTTATCACATGCCTTGGACTTCCCACTTCTTTCTCCAACCATCACCCATTTTTAAAGGAATTCACCCTATTTTAGTGCCTGTTTATATGTATATATAGTCCTACACACATGTACACACAAGTAACTTTTTAATCAAAACTACTTTTCCTAATCACATTTAACCCTGGTTTCATCTTTCCACACTGGTCTCATGTGGGTCATTCTCTCTTCTTCACATTGTCACACAGTCTGTCCTGGACCTCTGCCACTGCCTTCCGTCTATGCTCATTGGCCACAGCAGCAAAGATATGAATGGCAAACTGATGCCTTCAAATGTAAAATGGGGAGTCAGTGAGGGATGGAGTCAATATGTTTATCATTCATTCATTTCACACACATTTGTTTGTTGAAAGCAATGTGGGAAGATTTGGTACCATATAGTTCAAATCTATTAAATGTTGCATTCCAGCGTTTTGGGACACAGAGTACCATTTTATCACTTCTGGAAAACAGCTGTTATTTGGGACATAAAGTTAGTAATTATTTGCTCCAGTGAGTCTCAGCTGGGAACAGTTACACTGCCTCACATTTGGCTATGTCTGCAGATATTTTTTATTGTCACCATGGGGGGTTGACACGGCTACCTGGTGGGTGGAGGCCAGCAATGCTGCTAAGGATCTTACAATTCAAGGGTCCCCAACTCCTGGACCACAGACCAGTCCATGGCCTGTTGGGAAGCAGACTGCACAGCAAGAGGTGAACTGCGGGTGAGTGAACAAAGCTTCACTCACATTGCATTGCTGCCTGAGCTCCGCCTCCTGCCTCCACCCCATCCATGGAGGAATTGTCAAAAAGCTGGGGACCGCCACCAAGACAGCCCCCACTGCAAAGAATTACCCAGCCTCCGCTGTCAATAGTGCTGAGACAGAAATCTTAATTTGCACTGAAGCTTGCTTCATTTTTTTCTATTTCAGCTTCTATAAGGTTTTGCTTCACACTTGATTTGCCATAATTGTATCCATATTTAAAGTGTGCTATTTCATTCTCCTAAGTGAATTATGCTCTATTTTCTAATAAAATGATTTCTGAGATTGCAAGGTCACTTTACATAAAAATAGTATCAGTTTTTCTTTCAAAACTAAAAATTGGTTCTTTTGAGGTTCTTGGCTCTTACTTCATTGGAACAGATGTGTTCTGCATGGAGCATGTTTTCAAATTCAGCAGTTCACGTACCCTTATCATTGTGTCCATTGTATATACATCAGGCAAGGAGCCCTTACATGCATCAAAGCCTACTTACTGCTATTTAAATGCAAATGTGCGTGTCTCATTTCTATCATGTTAGATAAATGTTGATGTTCTTTTTGTTTTTAAGTTTTTAAAAAAGGGAGAAGGCCCCATATGGGGGCCTGGAAAGTGGGAAAAAAAACAACTCAAGACAACCCGCCCCGGGCCAAAAACCGGGAGGGGGAAGACAGGCCCAAGACAAAAAAAAAAAAAAAAAGTGGGGAAAGAAAAAAGGCACCAGACAGAGAATGACGGGCACAGGCAGCACAAGGCAGGATGATCAGGGAGGGACAGCTTCTCTGATCACCCAGGTCAGATGAAACATGTCAGGAAAACACAGGAGCAAGGAAGTCACCACTTTGGGCAAAGAGTCCTACCCAACAGGCCCCTGGAGCTTTGATAGCGGTTGCCATTCCTCCTCACCCTGGCTCTTGTGAGAGTTATACTCAATGAGACCTAGTGGACATTTGCCACCACCCCGGGGAGTGGCAGAATTTGAATAAGGAGTCAGAGGACCTTCAGGGAACCCTCGAGGCAGAGATGGAGATGGTGGGAGAGACTGAAAGCCCGGGTAGCAGCTGCAGGCCAGTGGGAGGCTGATACAGAGCGAGTGAGATGTGATGAAAGGTGGACCAACCTGGGCCAGTCCCATGAGAGAAGGACAGGGGTGAAGTCCATTGGCAAAGTGTGTGGTTGGAGGGGGTGGCAGGGCCAATGGCAGTTTCTGTCTGGATGCAAGGCAAATACTGATTTTATTTAAGACATTTATTTCTGCAGATGTCCTTGGGGAGATTAACTCTGCATTACCACCTCAGGTTAGAAGACGTCTATGGGTGCCCCTACGACTTTCTTGAAGTGTTCGACGGACGGCAAGGTGCCTCCCTCTCCTTGGGCAGATTTTGCACCGGGGCAGAGCTCAGCTTCCTCTCCTCTGCGAACATCATGACCGTGGTGTTCAGGAGCGATGCCAGGATCACCAACACAGGATTTTATGCCCAGTACAAAGCCGCTCAGCCTCGCGAAAGGGAGAGCAGTAGGTATCCTGAAAGGTACCTTGCAGGGGCTACATCTAATTTGTGTCCTTTCCCTTGAAGAGAAGAGGCAATCTCCAGATCTCGCCTGCAGAGCCCACCTTCATTAGGGATGGCCTGAGGGACATCCACTCTGACACCAACAGCCCCCAGGGCCCCAACCCCCTCTCTGACACTCACCATCAATTTTGCTCACCAGAACATGGTCTGGGAAAGCAGGTGGCTAAGTATCCTGCTGTGTCTTGGCTGTGAGTGCACATGGGGGACTCAGATGACCACCTCACTCCTCTCTGAGGGAAGGGAGCATGCGGTTGGCAAAGCCCCTGGAGCAAAACCATGCCCGGCTACAGCTACCTGTCCACCTGCCTCTGGCTGAATTCAGCACAAAACCCACCACGGCACTCCCACATCAGGACATGGGGCATTTCAGAGCCCTCAGTGGGCTGTGCTTAGGGCGACCATGGAAGTTAGCCTCCAATCGAGATATTCTGAGAATTTTAAAGGGACTCTAAAACAATGACTAGGCATTCATGGGTCTGCACCAGCCGTAAACCAGACTATTCCAGGCATATCAGGACATAGGGCCACCCTCTCTAGTGTCCAACAGCAAATATGGGGACATGTACCCACGTGCTGCTGGGCATTCTCTATCTGAAGAAGGTCCTAGAGTCTGGGAACAGCACCACACCTTTCTGGGAACAGAAGCCTGCCTTTCTGTCCCCCAGGTGTGTCCCTGAGACTGGTGAATGGCAGCCACAGGTGTGAGGGCCGGGTGGAGGTCTTCTACAATGGCACCTGGGGCACCGTGTGTGATGACAGCTGGGACCTGAGAGATGCCAGCGTGGTGTGCCGGCAGCTGGGTTGTGGCAAGGCCTTGTCGGCCCCGGTTCAGAGCTTCTTTGACAGAGGAACCGGCCTCATCGCGCTGGATGATGTGCAGTGCACCGGGGACGAAGCCCAGGTGTGGCAGTGCGTGCACAGTGGGTGGCTCTCCCACAACTGCGGGCACCACGAGGACGCCAGCGCCATCTGCTCAGGTGAGCCCCGTGGAGCTCAGCGCACCTCACAGCACCGCCCAGCAGCAGCCTCTGGGAAGGGAGAAGTCGATGCCAGCAGGCAGTTGCTCAGAACGGAGCGCTGGGCTTCCAGCTATCTTTTTAAGTTGACTTGCTTAAGAATGTTTCCTTTCCCTTCAATTGTGGTACCTGTAAAAAGTGTCTTGGTTCCCACCTTGAAGGTTGTGGGGATTCATTAGAGGCTGTGAGTCATCAGCCATTCCAGTCCTGGGTAGACTTGCCATGGCACTGGTGCCGACCCACGCTCTCCCGAGTAGGACTGGCAGCTGGTGTCCGAAGATCGCCTAGCGCCCGCCGGGCTCTGCCCTGAAACCAGTGCCCATTGTTGGTTCATCTCCACGACCAGTGAACAGCCCCCTGGCATCCTTGCTTCGTGGATAAGGCAGCAGGGACACCGCCAAGACACCCTGGCGGGCCTTACTCTGTACATATGGCCTCCACAGAGCCCTGGGAAAGAAGGAGCTCAGCTCTGTCACCAAAGCACCTCCAGCCGCATCAGGGAGCACGACTGAAGAAAGACGAGTTTCCAGTGTTAGTGCTTCCAGCAGCCAGATGAGGGCCTGCGTGGGCCCGAAAGCCAGTGGGCACGGATCGGGGGCCAATCTTGAACTGACGTGGATGGTTTCCAATACTACACTCACATCTGCCCAAAGTAGAATGTGCTCCCAAAGTAGAATTTGATCCTAACAAAAAGTGCCTGATATTCTCCCGAGGAGGATGTGACGGTCTTAATGCATCTGTCCACCTCTCTTCCATCTTTGCGTGGGTGTCAATGGCAGTTCCAAGGCAGGACCCTCAGGTGCTGCTTTTCTGTGCATTTCAACCCATCACCAGTCCCCTGATACCTGTGAATTCTAGCTACTCTTCATCCCGAAGTTGGGGCCTGAGCAAATTAAATTCTCTGTTTCTAACTAACGACAGCAGCGCAGATCATTGGCACTGACACGGTGGTGGCACTGGAAGGTACAGAGGATAGGGAGGCAGGCAGCAGGGAGGGAGAGCTCAGGGTCACCAGCAATGCAGTTTCTGGGCCAGTGGGGTTCCGAGTCAGTGCCTGCAGAGAGGGGGCTAAAGGCCTGCAGTGCCAGTCATGTTCGGGACGCGGCTGAGAGTGGGAATATAATAGAAACCCAGGCTCGGCCCTCAGTGGGCTGTAGCAAACTTCACCTGTCTGTGCCCACAGCGTGCAAATATCCAAACTCAGGAAGAGCCAGAGTCCTCTCTGCCCACAGGGGCACAGAGAAATCACAGCTTCAAGTGTCCGTATTTCTGAGTATCTCAAAGGAGTGTTTATTCTGGATAAAAGAACTCACAGTGTCATTTTTCTCTCTGTGTATTTGCAGGGTCAACTGGTGACGGCCCCCCGACAGGTACGTCAGCTTTATTTGGACCCTGCATGTGGTTTCTATTTGCTTTGCTTTCAATTGGATGAATGCCCTTTCCTCCTTTTATAAGTGAGAAGCTGCAGGAAAGAGGGGCTTTTAGCAAATTCCACCCTGATTCCAATAGTTCAGATAAGAGTTGGTTGCCTTAAGTAATCTTGCTCTTGATCTCAGCTAGGATTTGCGTATAACATGAGGGATCTTCAGTAAGCTGTTTCGGAGCACATTGTACTGAGTGAGGAAGGATGCTGCGACTTCCATCACCTTTGCATCCTTTGCACTAACACACGTGCTGAGACCTGTCTGTGCATGTGGCTTCATAAAGTCCTTTCAACCATGTGTCACAATCACTTCTTCTCAGAGAAGCCCTGTCACCCAACAGGACACCCACAATGCTCTGAGCTGACAAAGAGCAGCATGAGAAACTCTGAGGGGTTGCCAAAGCTAAGTTTTTGGCTACCAGCCAAAGCAGCCCGAGAGCAATTTCTGACTCCTGCCCTCCCTCCGTCCCCTCTTGACCCCTCTAAAAACACCAGCAGAAGTCAGAGCCCCTCCACATGGGGTTTTGTCACTTTCTTGCAGATGAAAATTTCCACTGTGGTGGTTTGCTCACAAATGCTTCCGGCTCCTTCAGCAGCCCTTGGTACCCTAATAAATACCCCACAAATGTGACATGTGCCTGGGACATACAGGTGGACCACAGAGCTCATGTCAAACTAACATTTGACATGCTGGCGTGAGTAAAACTTTTCTATTTTTTACTTTACCCTTCCATAGCTTGTTCTGTTACACACCCACCTACCCATCCCCCGGCAAAAAATAAATAAATAAATAAATAAATAACTTCCGCATTTCATTCTCAAAGGTGAGGCAAGCCTTGGAGGCCCACTTAGTAACAGTGATCAAAATTTGACTACACAGACCTTTTAACCCAGCAGTTCCAGTTCCAGGAACTTGGTCTGCAGAGAGAGCCTCACGGTGTGGGCGACCGTCATGGGGCATCTCACAGGAGCCAGAGACTGGAAATGACCCGATTGCTCAACAGTAGCCAGTCCGTTAACTGGAGCCGGGCATGGGGGGTGCGTTGCTATGGAGCCATCTGCAGGAAACCACGGGGACCAGCCCTGCAGCTGCCTTCTGTGCATGGGCTGTGCATGGGAGGGAAGAGAACTGTTCGTTCCAGCTGCTTCTGGGAAGAGGGGTGAAGTGAGAGTAGGCAAGTCAGGGGGTAGGAGAAAAACTTACTTTTCACCAAAATGCCTGTCAGTGCAACTTAAATGATGTTCCTTGCACTTGTAATAAGTATTCGGAAAATACAGCTGAATGAAAACATTCGACGTGAAAACACTTTTGGAACATGAAGGTACATACTGCCTCCATCCACAGGGTGTTGATTTCCTTCACCTGTGTGAAAGATGCAGGTTTCAGACAGCTTTTCCAGGACCTTCCCTGAACCATTCTGAGTAGCCCTGACTGGGGGAAAAGCCCCAGTGGTTTGAAACTGTGTGATATCGTCACTTCACAGGCTGGAAAACATCTATGGCTGTCCACACAACTTCGTTGAAATCTTTGATGGCCCACAGAGTGAATCTCTCTCTCTGGGGAGGTTCTGTTCCGGTATAACCCCAGTATTTACTTCCTCCTCACATCGCCTGACAGTGGTCTTCCACAGCAATGACAACGTCACCAACAGTGGCTTTCATGCCACCTATGAGTCCGTCATGCAAGATGAGAATAATACTGGTAGGTCCTTTGGTCACCTTAGTCCCTGGTCCTGAGGGGTAATGATGGCAAGGTCAGACAGCCAACTCTGTGCCTGGAGAATAGGGATGGGAAAGGGGTCCCCTTGTGCCTTAGTTTACCCCCTAGATCTGCCTGGAGCAGGTGGCTGGACACCCAACACTGGTGGCTCGACCACATGTGCCTGCACTGCAATATCAGGGTGCATCCTCTGCACTGAGAAGGGGACCTGGTCTCATGCTGGCTTTGAGCTTCACTCCAAATGCGTGGGGAGTTCCATTCCTCCCACCCAGAGGGCGCTGCTCCTGGTAAAGGGCAGGAACACTGAGAGTTCATGTCCCTGGTGTGTCCCACTTCACACAGGGCCTCCAGGGGCCTCCTTTGGCTTCTGTCAAGTGGACAGTCTTGTCTGGGAAGGAAGCTTTAAAAACAAAAAATCACACTGACATAAGCAATTGCATCTGAACTGCCTTGGCAGCCACTCCAACCCACTACAGTTCCCTCCAGTGGGTAAGAGCAGAGCCCCCAACTCTCAGAGCTGGTCAGCTCAGGGGAAACTCCAGGTCTTCCTTGAAGGCAGTGACAAGGGGATGTGTCTGCATTTCCAGAGGTGGCCCTCAGGCTGGCCAATGGCAGTCACCGGTGCGAAGGCCGTGTGGAGTTGCACTACAATGGGACCTGGGGGACAGTGTGTGATGACAGCTGGGACTTGCGTGATGCCCAGGTTGTGTGCGAGCAGCTGGCCTGTGGCAGGGCTGTGTCAGCCCCCAGGGGAGCGCATTTTGACCGAGGCTGGGGCCCCATCGCTTTGGACAATGTGGAGTGCATGGGGACGGAAGACAGACTGTGGCAGTGCGCACACGGTGGCTGGTTCTCCCACGACTGCGGCCACCACGAAGACGCTGGCGCCATCTGCTCTGGTGAGTTGATGCTCAGAGAGCAGGTAGGAGACAGGACATTCCCCACTGTACTGCAGGGAAGTCCTGGGCTGTCCCTCGGCCACCCTTTCCCAAGTGCCAGCCGTACAAGTGTCCCTACATGACCCCTGCCATACCTGCTGACCACCCACACTATTAATTTTCTTAAGATTTCCCTTTACATGCACTCTTCTTGCCTCACTTAGATGAATTCATTTCACAAACACTTTATATCAGCACCAGAAATGGAGAGTCTGGACGGATTGCCTTAAATAGTACATAAAAATCAATGCAGCCGCAATAAAACAATGTTAACGTGTTTAAAAATTAAAATACTGCCCTGGCTGGTGTGGCTCCATTGGAGCATCATCCTGTAAACTGAAAAGTCACGGGTCCAGTTTCGATTCAGGGCACATGCCTAGGTTGCGGGTTCCATCCCTGGCTGGGCGTGTACGAGAGGCAACCGATCAATGCTCCTCTCACATCGATGTCTCTCCCTTCCCGTCTCTCTAAAGTTAATAAGCATGCCCTCGAGTGAGAAAATACAGTGCACTAGCTTATCTTACCAATTCATACCTTAATTAGAATAAACTGAATGTGAGTTTTTAAAATTTTAATGCAATAAATACGTAACTCTTAAGATAGAAGCTGTACCTCCTGGAATAATCTCACAGGCCACCGGACAGGAGTCAGGCCTCTGGGAACCGTCCCTGTGGTTCAGCCCTCGGACTCCCGCTGAGTTTCTGCAAATGAGTTCGGTAGCCGGGGGGTCGGGAGCCCCTATCTACCTCCATATCCTTCTAGGTTTGGCTAGGAGGGGGCCAACTGGACCTGGCCAGGTTGACAGGCTGCAATGACAGGAGGAAGGGCAAGCAAGAGGTGGGCTACTGGAAGGTTCTGGGAGGACAGGGGAGAAGTCCAGGGACGGAATCAGTGTTCTGAGCAAAGCAGGAGCTGAAGTCGTGCCGAGCATGACATCATGCCAATGTCTGCCAGGCCAAGTGTGACGTCAGAAGACGGGCCTGGGGGCCTAGAGAGCAGGGAGATTTGGAAGCAGGGCCCAGGGCAGGATGAAGGATGGTTGGTCAGGGGTGAGAGAAAGGTCGCAGGCCCCGGGGCTCCAGGCTCAGGTCCACACCCACTCCCCTCAGCTCCCTCCTGGTGCTGAAGGTGCTGGTGCTTGTCTCTGAGACACCATGGCTCTGCCCTTGGAAAACCAGCGTGTAACCCGGGAGGCAAGAGACACACACCCAGGAAGAATTACAAACCCAAAGTCACCAGTAAGACAGGTGCTCCTCACTAGATGAGCATGACTATGACCGTAGTTTGCCCCCCAAAAAAGGAAAAAATCCCCCAAATGACATTGCAGTGTCCAGTGGCAGAACAGAAACAAAAGCAGTCCCATCTGGTGGCTGTAACTATGGCAACTCCAGGCAACTCTTTGATACCCAGACTGGGTGCAGCTTCTCCCCACACAAGACAGGGCCCTCATGATCCAATAGGCAAGTCGACCTCCTGGGTTCAAGAAGAATGAAGGGGCCTGAGCTGCCTCCCCTTTCGGTTTGTTTCTCACAGCCGCCCTGCCTTCCTCAACACCTTCCACCACGGGGAGTCCCCCAGCTCCAGGTAACTTCACTTGTTCTCAACTCATTGTCTGTATCCTGCTGTGACAAAGTGCGTGTAAGGGGAGGGAGTAGCTTAGGGGCCGAATGCCCTGGGTGTGTTGTCCTGGCTTCATCATTTACTAGCTGGGGGACCCTGAGTGAGTGTTCGAGCCACTCAAGGCCTCGGTCTCCTCCTCTGGATGTAAATGAGGAGGTGCGTAGCATTTGCGTCCTGAGCCCAGGCAGAGGCGGGAGGGCAGTGTGGTCACGTGGGGCTGGCTGGGCGTCAGCTGGGCAGTGATCTCTGTCCACGGCCCTCCCCTGGATGGAACTATAAAGGATGAAGGAGTGAAGGCACCGCTGCTTAGTGTGTCCCTGACTCTGTGATTGGCCAGTAGTTGTCACATTTTGTCTGCTTTTCCATGGCAGGTCCTTAAGAGTCAAATACAATATGCAGGGGAGAGTTGGGGGAGAGGGGAATGAACCTGAACCTTCGAAGGAAGCACTGGAGGAGGTTGTGCTAAATAGCGGTGATCTCCAGAGGATGCTCTTTCAAGTCTTGACTTGAAAATACATGTTTTTTGAGACTATCTAGCAACCACCATGATTTGCTTTTCTTGAGCTTGTATCACTTGGCTGTAGACATACTAGTGGGGTGTTGGAGAGAATGCTCCCCACAGAGAAAGGACTTGGGGACCAGACCAGTTTAAACTCAGGAACTAACTGATTCACACGGGAGAGCCCACCAACAGGTGATTGAGAGGTCACTATGTCTGACACCTAAGATCCTGTGTAACTCGCTGCCTTCCCCTCTTCATCTGTCCTTAGCACATCTTCCAAAGCCGACAGAGGTGCCCACACCCGCAGGTAATCTTCCCTTCTCTTCACTGCCTTCCCACTGTAGAGTTTGGGCTCAGAAAGCCTTCAGCGTTTCTGTGGGAGGAAGTATCCCCGTGGGAACCGCGCTCTTGCACACACTCAGGCCGCATGCCAGGCTGCACTGGGGGAAGGGCCCATAATGTCTGGGTTCACCCAGAAAATGTGTGATTGGAAAGTGAGAGGAGAGAAGAAGCTGGGGTAGAAGGATGGCTAACCGGGGCTGGCTTGAAGCTGGCACCTGGGAAGGGGAGTGGGGTACCCACGGACACCAGATCTCTGCCCGTTCTGCCGTGAGCTCAGCTGGGCTGTGTTCTGAGCATGGCCAGTCTCTCCCCTTTCCAGTAACTGCCCACTAAACATGGGGGTCAGCCTGCAGTGACTGCCCAGCCTGTCTTCACATACATTGTTGTACCTGATTGTAAAATGACACAGATGGGAACTATTGCTATTGACATTGGATGTGCAAAGGTCCATAGAATTGTACTTCCTTACATGCCACGATTAGAATGTGCATGATAGGTTCTCATGGGGAATCCAACCACCCTGTGAGTGTCAGGCTCAAGACTTCAGGGTGCAGTGAAAGAGAAGGGGGCAGCGACACTGTGATGTAGGTCACTGGGCCAGCCAGTCACAGAGCAAAGCGCTTCCTAACCAATTGTAACCTTGATAGCACACTGAGTGAGTAATACCCTAGGCCAGACATGAAATGAAATGAAATGGGAGTAGGTTTGTTATTATCAATAGTGCAGTTTCCAGGACATCCTGAGTTTCTCTTCCGGCGACCTCTCTGGATGACCCCTGACAGAGGTCATTGTCTGGAATGTCCACCAAGGTCTGGGCCTGCGGCTGATGAATGGGACAAGCAGGTGTGAGGGCCGAGTGGAAGTCTACCACGCCGGCATCTGGGGCACGGTGTGTGATGGCAGCTGGTCCATAGAGGATGCCCACGTGGTCTGCAGACAGCTGGGCTGTGGCCTGGCCCTGCCTGCCCCCCCAGGGGCCAGCTTCCCCCCGGGGTCAGGCAGCATCCTCCTCGATGATGTCAACTGCACGGGAGTCGAGTCCTCCCTGGGGCAGTGCCCACACAGCGACTGGTTCAGCCACAACTGCAGTCACCATGAGGACGTCGGCGTCATCTGCTCAGGTAAGCACAGGTGCCCCTTGTGGAGCTGCCCAGGTCATGCCTGGAATTTGCAAATAGTCTGGAAAAGCTTCCATGCCCCAAACCGGCCCCCATGCCTGGGACAGCAGATTTCTGTTCTGACTCTGGAAACAGTGCCAGTGGTTTGATGTAGGGGAGGGCATTCTACCTGAGTGTCCACAAAGGTAGAGGTCACTTGTAAAGAAAGGAAAACAATGGTACTTTCCTCATAACGTTGTCTGGAGGATTAAACAGACCATTTAGTCAAGCACATGACCCCCGATAAATGCACAAGAATGTAACTATTTTGCTGATGTTCATGGTATTTTCACTGCCAAGCCAAATTCTTTCAGAATCAGTGCCTCAGAGTTTTAGCCAGGCGACACAATCCACGCCAGTCCGTAAAAGCCCTGAGGGGACAGCCCTAGGCACTTAAGAACATCGTCTACTCCAGCTGGTCAAGTGGCATTTAAACTAGACCCTGGTCCCTGAGTATCTCCACCGCCCTGGTTTCTGCTGCTCCACCACCACCCTGTTGCCTTTATCTCCGCAGAGTCTGCAGCCGCCGGACATCCGGGTACCTGTGAGTTCACACCGATTTCATTTGCCGATTGCTGACTAGCCATCTAGTGCAGAGTCTGTCTCCCTTGCCAGCCTCCACTCTCCTTGACCATGCCCTGACCCCCAGACCCTTCCACCCTTCCAGAAGGTGAAGATGCAGAGCTGTTTCAGAGTCTCACAGGGCCCTGCTCTTTCTGTCCTGGTTCACGAGACAGATCATAGGTTCACGGGTCGTCCCTTCCACATACAGGATCTGCAGGACCCTGAGATCCCTGCTCTTCACCCAAAGTGGTCGTTCACGCACCAGAGGCTGAGGCAGGGCAGAGAGGGCAGATGGGTCTGGGGCAGGTGGGCCTGGGGCAGCCTTACCTGGGACCCAGGATGCTGAATGCTGGGTCTGGCCATGTGATTGAGGCCTATGGGCCACATTTGCACAAACCCAGCATCAATTTTATTTCTTTTATCTTCTTAATCAGAACAGTGTGTGCTGCCCCCACGCTTTAGCGGTTAACTATTGGATTAGCGATCAGATGGAGTGTGTTATAGGCCGGCTCCTGTATGTGACTTTGATGGTGTTTGAGATGAGCGTGAAACGTCGCTGTTTGTTTGGAATGTGTTCATGATGACCATTTCTCTTTCCACCGGTACAGCTCCTTCACCTCCTGGGGAACGGCCTCATGGTTTCCAACCACTAGGTACTTTTCCCATTTTTATTCTCTGAAACCGTCTTCCTTGGGCTGGGTCGTGCCAATGGTATTTTCGTGGCCCTGGTGCTGTGTGAAATAGACGTGTGCTCACTAGGGGTGAGCTTGGCAGTGTTGGGGGTTCTCCTCGAGTGGGTTCTCTCTTTGAAGGAGAGTCAGCTCACCCTCTGCCCCTGCAGCCTCCTTGGAAGGCTTGTACTGAGGCCCTGGCCCTGGCCAGGCTGTTACGGGCCCTTCACAAAGGGGTCCCAGGAACCAGCCCCTGTCCCCGCAACTCTGAATCAGAGAATCACCTTCGGCTGCTTTTGGTTCAAGGGACCGTTTCGCTTGGCCAGTCCCTTACCTTCCGGCAGCAGCGGTGCCATCCCTCCCTCTGCTTGCTCTTCCATCACCCTCCAATAAATACTTTATAATTTTTAAATTCAAGTAAAGGGAAATTAATGTTGTCCTGACAATTGCATAACAGTCTGTGGAGACCTGGGTTGGAAATGCCAAGTCTGAAACCCAGACGTGCAGCTGAATTATTCTGAGTTTTTAGAGAAGCAACATGAAAAATGGTACCCTAGACAGAAAACTGTACTTGAACAACAATTAAATAATTTTTAAAAAATGGTACCCCCAAAGAGGATGAAAGCAGAGGTGATTTTTATGTGTTTCTGTCTCTATGAAGCTGACCTATGGCCTGGATTCCCATAGAAAAACTGCCCAGTGAGGAGAAGCATTGTAGTTTGTGCTACATTTCAGATACAAAAGCAGTCATCTGATCTCCTATGCATATCAGTTCCCCGGGGACCTATGCAGCCAGGTCAGCGACCTGCAGATGGGGTAGAATTCGGGAAACTTCTCAAGCCGGTGTGGCTCTTGGCACCCGCAGATCTGCCCATGGCGAGGCTGGCAGTGGGGCACAGCAGGTGTGAGGTCCACGTGGTGATCCCCCACACTGGCACCTGGGGGGCTGTGCGAGACGACCTCTGGGGCCTGCCTGCCACCCCGGGGGTTGGGCCAGCAGCTGGGCTGTGGGGGCCCTGGAGGCCCGAGGAGTGGTCTGTTTGGTGGTAGCTCTGGCCCCATCTTCCTGGACAACAGGAAGCGGTGTGTTAGGGTGGCCGGTGAAGTGAGCTGCGAAAGAATTCACAAAGAGAAGACCTGCAGAGAGCAAAGTTTTATTTTTACTTTCCCAAGAGAGGGCAAGGGCCGGTGCGGAGAAATGCGCCAGCAGCGAAAAGTTGGGGCTGCGAGTTTTTACTGGGTGATAAAAGGGGAGGGAGGTGCAGCTGGGCAGTCATGGCAATGAACTGTAAATCCGGAGGTTTGGGGCCAGCGGTGCGGGCTCCGGTTTGTTCTGCTGTTTTCGTCAGGTTCATGGTCCTGGCGCTCTGGTCTACCATGTTGCTTGTGGCAGTCTTAAAACTCCTGCATGGGGGGTGCTTCTAGCAACCTCTCCCGTCCTGGGGATAGCGGCTCAGAGAAACAGCAGTTCGTTGTGGCTGACACTCTGGAGAGAGCTAGCTGTGCTGGTAAAGAGGGCCCAAGACGGGCCTTTTGGTCCTTTCAGATATTTCCATCTCACTCTTTCGTTCTGTAGTTTTCCGAATCTAAAAAGTGGGTGCTGGACATTCCCGACGAGTCATGGTACCTCCTGATGAAAACCCTGCATTAAAATGGCATCGAATGCTCCTCTGTCTATTTTGCAGCCTCGAATCTCCCAACAGGCCCCTCCCCAGAAAAACTCAGATGGGGGCTTCCAGTTAGTGTCTGAAAGCCAGGGTCTCGCCCCAGTGAGGGGAGGCAGTTCAGAGACGCTACCCGGTTTGGACTCAGGCCTTAGAGACGCCGCCCCTGCTGTGACAGAGCTGCCTTAGCCAGAGTGTCCTCAACACCACCTGGCACAAGTATGGCTCCAGTGCCCACACGGCTGTGCCTACAAGTGTGCTGAATCCACTCACATCAATGCCTCGGGCTTTGTCTTTTAGTTACCAACGTGGCCCCAGAACCAGCAGAAATGGCTCCTGTGGACAGTAATTCTTCGTCTTTGTCACAGAGTCCTGGTTAGGGAGTGTGTCTAACAGGCTCCCTGAGGTTATAGCCAGCGATAGCAGGGCCCCCACCCCCAGATTCGCGCCTCCCCAGGGCTGGGAAAACACAGGGCCAGCTCGGAGGCAGAGTTACCAGGTCATATGGCTACTTGTCTGGTCCCCGGTGCTCCCCAGATTTCTAAGCTTTTTTTTTTTTTCTAACTTATTTTTTTATTGGTTATGCTGTTACAGTTGTTCTATTCCCCCCTTCATTCCCCTCCACCCTACCCCCCGTCCCCACCATTACCCCCCTTTAGTTTATGACCTTGTCCAAGTCTTTAGATGCTATATTTCCCATACTATTTTTGCCCCCCCATCTATTTTCTATCTACTGTCTATGCTACTTATTTTCTGTACCTTCTCTCCCCTTCTCCTTCTCCCATTCCCCTGTTGCTAACCCTCCTTGAGATCTTCATTTCTATGTTTCCACTCCTGATCTAGCTGTCCTTTTGATCCTTGGCCAACAGACCAGTTTGTCTTAAAGGAAATAACAAAAACTCTGAGTTGGACACATTCTGATGTTGTTGCTTAGCAATCTGATGATCTGGCTCTCCAAGGACATTTTGCTTCTCCCCGCATTTACCATGTGTAAGGATGGAGATGTGAACAAAATACGCAAAACAGGAAATAGTCTGGAGAAGCCAGTCACAGTGTTTATGAGCACTTACTTGACTTCTTCCTGTGGGGCCCAGAAGCAGGAAATGAGAGACTCCACACAATAAGAGTTAAGAAAAGTCCCGCTAGAAATGGCTCCACAGGATTGCTGACCACATTCCAGTAATAACCCCCGAGTCTCTCTCTCCCAGACTTGCCCGTCATCAGGCTGGTGGACGGGAGGAACCGCTGCGAAGGACGCGTCGAAGTCTACCACAATGGCACGTGGGGGACGGTGTGTGACGACTTCTGGGACATCAACGCTGCCCGCGTGGTGTGCCAGCAGCTGGACTGTGGGGAGGGCATCGGCGCCCTGGGGAGCAGCTACTTTGGGGCGGGCATGGGGCACATCTTCCTGGACAATGTGCAGTGTCGGGGCAACGAGACCACACTGGGCCAGTGCCTGCATCTGGGCTTGTCTGTCCACAACTGTGGCCACCACGAGGACGCGGGCGCCATCTGCTCAGGTACCCACCCTTGGTTTCCCCCCAGACGGCCAGGGAGGGCGAATTGTTCTCTGAACCAGTCAGCGTCTCTCACTTCCTGCATCCTCTTCTCCGTTTCATCCAAGAAACCTGTCTTATGTTCAATGTCACATTCAGAAGTCATGTCGATCTAATTTTACTATCCCCGAAGTATATATATTTTAAATTTAAAAATATATTTTTTAAATGTCCTATTTGCGGGTGGGGTTCTTGTTTGGATTTTATCTCATTTTAGTTTCTCTTTTGTTTGACAGTTTCGGCCTCAGCCACAGGAATGGCCACCTCACCTGGTAATTTTACTTTCTTTCTTGTATAAATCACGTATGTACAGCTTGCCTTGCATATGGTCAGGGTTGGAGCTTATACCTCACGTGAAACTAAATATCAAGCTCCTATCAAACTAATATAAGGGTCTTGTACAGTCACTGAACAAGACAGTAACTTGAACAGACAGCGATTGCGCACCTTTTGTGCACAGGACACGGTGTGTCCAGTTTGCCGTGTCCCTCCTTGTGCGCCAGCAGGTCTCTGAAATCAGCAAGGAGGGAAATGAGCTTCCTTCACGTCCCCTGCAGTGTTCACACCCTGGGGATTCAGTGAGTTCATTTCTTTAAACAGTCACAGCGCTTCGGGCATCTCAGGCAGTGTTATCCCTTTAATGCACATTTTCCAAAAACACTAGAGTACCACATCTCCCATGCGTGTTTCACAGTCCAGTCCACCAACCCAGTGACACGCAAACTTGAAAGAAGAACTTTCATGGCCAAACAGTTGGGGAAATACCACATCCCTCTCTTAAAGATTCAGTTAGTCGGCACACTGAGGTCTCTGATAAGTCCTGTGGCTGGGGATCTTTCTTTAACGCGGCTCGGCCCAGTGCCTCTCAAACTTCTCTGACCACTGAAACCTCTTCCATGGAAAAGGAGTATCATAGGGTTTGCAGCCAGAGGCCCTGGGATTCTGTTCTGGCTCCATCCTTGACCAACAGGGTGGCAGCAGGGGAGTCCCCTCACAGCTCAGAGCCTCGCCATTTTCGTCTGAGAACAGGAGGATGAACCTGGTCCTGGGGATGGGGTGGCACACACGTGAGTGGCTCACCATTGTGGACTCCTGGTCATGTTCCTGAGGGACGTGTGTGCTGCTCCTGAGCCCTGCCTGGCTCTGCAATGTGTCCTTCTGTGAACTTCCCTCTTTTGGACACTCTGGGGTTCATCCCAAGCCTTGAGTTGATCAACACATGGCTGAGAAAGTTGGAGAAATGTCATCTCAATTCAACTCAAGTTTTCTCTGAACTGTAAATGGCTATGAAAGTATCCCAGGGTCCCCATTTCCAAAAATCTCAGATTCTTCTGCCAGGCTTGGTAGAAACTGACCTCTATGGAAAACCAGACAATGAACACACTTCCTTTGTGGTTGGGTCTGTGAAAAATCGGCCCCCAAATCTCTTAGGCAAGGGCAAGTTCAACAGGGTACCACCATGTTGTAACACTTTTCTGAGACTTCAGAGAAACATTAGAGACCGTTCAGCCCAGAAGTTACAAACAGGCAGCCAAGGCCCAGTTTTGACCCATGTGTGAGTTTAGATTCAGGTAACAGAGTTTTCCTTTGCAGTTTTTAAGATCACATTTTTAAAAAGATTTTATATAAAAGTACAGATTTCAAGCCTTGATGGAAAAACCAGAGGATAGGAAATACTAGCTTGAATTTTGACAGATCACCAATTGCCTGGGCTCAGCAGGGACAGGGCCCCCTTCACACGGGCCTGCTCTGTCCAGCTCCCTCCTGGCCACCACCAGTTACCTCTGGGCCTGGGGCGTCTCCATTCAGATGCTTGGTGCTTCTCAAACTTTGTTGTGCATGCAAGTCACTTGGAGGTCTTGTTCAAATGCACTTTCTGATTCAGTAACTCTGGGATGGGCCCAAGAGTCTGCATTTCTAACCAGGTGATGTAGATGCTGCTGGTCCATGAACTAGCTCCCTCAGATACAGCAGCTGGGAGATGCAAAGGAAAAAAAAAACAACAGGACTTGCCCAAGGTCACCTGCTTGGTTACACAAAGAGCATAGACAAGAACCCAGGTCTTTTGGGTGCTGGACCCACCCCCTCCACCATTTATTTCCCTTCGCTCAATGATACAGAGGATACAGACTCTCACTTTCTTACGTGCCCCACAGTTGGGTTTGTGGCCTCCCTCCTGGCTGGCTGTTGTGTGAGACAGCAAACTGGGGATCGGGTGACCACATGGCAGAGACACACTGGCAACGGCAGTAAATGCTAACAGATGCTGGCTGCAATTATCCAAGGAGTTCCTGATGTGACTCTGGATTTAAGAAATTTCACAAATATGGCGTTGGGGATTTATCTGGGGAAAGGCTGTAAAAAGAGCCCCCCCCCCCCCCCCGCAGGTGCTAGGGCAATGAATAAGTCAAACATGAGAGTCAACACAAAATACAGCCTTTATTACTGATAAGGGTGGATTGTGAGCAAATGGGTCCCCCATCTGGTCCTCCCCCTCGGTCTAGATCTCAGGACAGCCCACCTGGAAAAAGTTCCAGTGTGCAGAGCTGACCCCTCCTGGGTGAAGGAAGGACCAGGGACAGCAAGTCCCCCATTTACAGAATCTCTCTTAGACTGTCTCCATCCAGCAGGGAAACCTGGATCAATGTTTATTGTCCCCTGAACATCATCTTGATCTCTAAGGGGAGAAGTAAAGGGCAGGCACGAGGCATGGAGACCCAGGAGTGGAGGGGCGGCCCAGAGACAGTGGGGAATCCGGAGACTTGCTGTAGACCCCCATCCGGAAAGCAGAAAAATAAGTCATGCCAGTCACATGGATCCGTGATAGGCATCTTCACATCTCGTGTGTCTCACAGAAATGTATGTGCCCAATATGGCTGTCTTATTGCTGTCTTGTTACTTTTGTTCCTCGCAGATTCAATCTCAACATCTCCGACCTCCACAGCAGGTAAAGTACTGTCTGCTGTCCCATGACGGCCTCTTCTTGGAGCTCCACGGATCAGACTAGGCTGTTCCTGGACATTTTGTCCCCAGCACAGACTCAGGAAAAAACAGAAACCCAGACGTCCTTCCCATTGGTATTTGTGTTCTTCCCTCTTTTCCTACAGAATCCTCTGCGATTTCAGCAGAAGTCACCTCTTCATCTGGTAAAGACTCTCCTTGTGATGTTTCAATTAATGAGGCCAGCTTCTCACTTGCCATGTTTTACTTACAAAACAAACCCGCTGAATGACCATTTTGACCACAAAGTAAACCTCAATGAAAAGACTCATGGAAGGGTCCTTTCTCTCATTTTTGATTGTCCCCTTCTCTGTTCCTACACAGATGTACCTTCCACCTCTGCTGAAGTGGACTACCCCTCAGGTAATGTGTTCTGCTGTTCCATTTCTCCAGTTAAATACCATCAGCTCTTCCTCTTTCTGTTTAACAAATAAACACATGCACCAGATATTTTGTCTGCAGTATAAACCCCAATGTGAGCTGAAGTCCAGCATCCTTATCCAGAAGTTAAGCTGCACGCTCTCTGTATTCATCCGGAGACACAGACAGGCCCCTCCACTAGGGAAGGCCTTCCGCTTGTCGCACTGGTCTGAATCGACGTGCCCACGAGAGGCGGGAGAGGGCCGGGGGCCACACCTCACCTGTGCGGCAGGCGGTGCTTTGACCTTCCAGCGCACCTAACATGCACCCTGGAGAGCCGGGTTATCATAGCATTGCCTCTGCCCATTTGATCTTCTGTTTTCTACCACACCATTGTTCAAAAAATTTCTTTTTTCTTTTTTCACTGATCTTTGAGTTCGGTTCTTCTTGGATTGCAGATACAGCTCGCCCTTCAGGTGAAGTGTCGTCCTCACCAGGTATGCACTCTGCTCTTCGCAGCTGCCCTGCCCGGTGACTCCCTGAGCAACCCCAGCCCGACAAGTTTACACACCAGAGCCGACAAGCACTTCCTGTTCCCCAGGGGACGGGAGGAGAGGAGAGGCTGGGCCGGTGCCAGGCCGCCCCCCCTCCACTGGTCACAGTTCTGAATAAAGGCAGATGTGGGGCCGGGATGAACAGGATAAAATGTCAGCCCGGGAGGAGACCGTAGAGGTGGCCTACACCAGCTGTTCTCAAATGTTAACGCGCAAGTAAACGGCCTGGAGACCTGGTTAAAACACAGACGCTGAGTTGGTGGCTCTGGGCGGGGCCTGACTCTATGTTCCTCACGGGCTGCCAGGTGCTGCCCATTCAGGGAGTGAAGACACTGAACACTCACCCTGTTTTGGAGGAAAATGAGGCCCAGAGAAGGAAGAGTCTTAGTCAGCGAGGACTGCTGTAACTCAGAACTGCAGACCGCGGGGCTCACACACAGAAATGTATTCTCTCACGGTGCTGTAGACTAGAAGTCCAAGATCAAGGTGGCAGCAGGGCCGACGTCTGGTGTGGGCTCCGCTCTTTGGCTGGACACAGCCACCTTCTCTCTGTGTGTCCACAGGGCCAAGAGAGAGGGGAAGAGAAACATGCTCTGGTGTCTGTTACAAGAACACCAAGACTATCAGCTCAGGGCCCCATGCTTATGGCCTCGGTGAACCTTAATTTCTTCCTTAGAGGCCCCATCTCCAAATGCAGCCACACTGGGTGTTAGGGCTTCGACATATGAATTTTGAGGGGACACAGTTGGGTCCATAGTCACCACAGAGCTAGAGCAAGGCAAGGCTTGGTCTCCTGGTTCCTATGCAAGGTCCCATCTGCTCTCTGGCATTGCTGGTGCATCCGTTTACGGGATTCCCCCAGGTCCCTGCGACCCTGGTCCCATCATAACAAGGCCTGCTGCTTTCCCCTGTTTTGTTTCTTTCTTTATAAGTCCTGATTACCTTGAAGACATGTGGGGTAAAACTCAATGAAATCAAAGGTTTGGACTTCTTTTCAATTACATTTAAGTATTGTCTTTCTTCCTTCCTACCTTCCTCCCTCCCCTCTCTTTCCCTCTCCCTTTCCATGTTCTCTCACTCCCTTCATCCTCCACTTCCTCCCTCCTTCCTATCTTCCTTCTCACCTCACTCCCTTCATCCTTCTCTTCCTCCCTTCCTTCTTTCCCTGCCACCAACGTGACTCTACTTGGGGCAGAAGGTTCCTTCACTTGTAATTCTCACTGGTTCTTGAGTTTTCTTTGTAGACCTGGTAGACAGTGACTGCTTCCCGCACAGACAGGCAGCACTCACGCGTTTTGCTCCCTGTATGAAAGCACAACAGCCAAAGTCAGTCCTGTTTCTGCAGGACGCACCTCTTGGAGGGTAAGGACAGGGGTGGTGGCCGTCCCTTCTGCACCTCGCTGAGCCCAGAGCGAATGCAGCTCCCACATCTTATGCTTCTGAAAGGCACAGAAAGGGTGTGAGCCCTGGGACCTCCCGAGTGTGACCCGTAGGTGACCTGGACGTGCTGTGCAAGCCCGCTAGTCTCCGGTTCCTCATCTCTGAAACAGCGATGAAACCCGGCACCGTCATTGGAAGGATTAGAGATGTAAATTAGAGGACACGTTGTAGATGCTCCAAATGAGAACAATTGTTAATGTTCCTTGCAAAATATCAACTGCTCAAACACCATTCCACCCCCGGTGTGTAAATCCACAAGATAAATAAGCAGGGCGGACCCTATTGTCTATAGCTTCTGGAACAGACATGGTTTTATAAACTTGCAGTCTATGGTGTAAAATTACAATGAAGCCAGATTTTCAAGCTCTCTTTCACTGAAAAAAAAACACACTTTATTTATTTTTTTTTGGCAGCCACAGATCTGATTTCAACAGAACCAACACCATCACCTGGTAATGACCTTATGCCACTGGATCAACCCTTAGTTTTCAGTAATTTATACCACCACACTGTATCCTAAAATCCACTGTTACTTTTTATCTTTATCTTTTACTTTTCTACCTTGCTCCCCTCCGTGTGTTTTCACCTGGAATTATTCCTCTCCGATATCAGCTTTCTCTCTAAAATGTTTTTCTAAGGAATCTGTGTTGATTTTCTTCACTTAATTTTCATTGCCTGTAAAATTTTTTTCTACAAAATCTAATGCTTTTGTATTCTTCCTTTCAACAATTCAGTATATTTATAAATGCTTGTTCTCTGGCCATTTAATACATTATTTTATTTTTGGATAATAAACAGGATACATTACCACTTGTTCCACGTTGATGCCAAGAAAACAAAATGTCACAGACAGTATTTCCGCCCCCAAACCAAAGGAGAGACTTAAACAAAGTGTCAGTGTTCACACTTAGAGACAGTGCCTTTCTCGGCTTTGAATATAAACAGGTGACTTTGAGGTTATGCATTTTTAAGGTTAGTTTTTCTTTTTTACAGTTACAATCTCAGCTGGTGAAGAAATGGTCTCTTTACCTGGTAAGTTTTGTTTGTTTCTAAACAGTAAAATGATATCATTATTAGCACTGTTAAGATCATATTTATTATTCATTCAAATTCCCTACTCTTTACAGGAAGTTTTTATGAGCGTACACCCTCACCTCTGAAGGTTAGAAAGGCCCAAATTCACCCCCTGGGACCTCCCCCAGGAGAGATTTGCTTTCATCCATAGTTAGATGAGCATGATTATTTTGCCTCCAAAACACAGCAATGAATTAGATGAGAAGAAAGCAACCATCCGAGACCAGGCAACTGCAGCCTCAGAGAAACCAAAGCCGGTGGGGTTATTAGCACCACTGAGCATCTCCTACACACCGAGCATAGCAGGAAATTGAAAAATAGTCACTTGCAACCCATTTATGTGAAGACAATCATTTGACACATGTCTGGGGGTGTGGCACCACCAACATAATATAGTTTTTTAAAAATTATTTTCACTTTTTAAGAACACTTTCGTGAAGCATACTTATTTGCTGTAAAGTGCACACTTCCATGAGTTTTGCCTAATGTATATAACAGTTTACCCAGCACCATTATCGAGATCCAAGTATTTCCAGAAAGTCCCTCCGAACCCCTTTGCAGCGAACCTCGCCCACCTCCCCTGGCAGTCACTGGTCTGCTCTCTGTCTCTGAAGTTCACACTCATCTTTCTAGACTCCCATGTAGATGGAATCAGATAATCTGTGCTCTTCTGTGTCTGAATTCTTTTGCTCAACAAGTTGTTTCTGAGATTTGTCCATGTGGTTCCACAATTGGCAACTTGTTCCTCTTACTGCTGAACACTGTTCCATTGTGTGGGTACACCACAGTGTATCCATTCTCCTGCTGGTGGACGTTTGCATTGTTTCCGGTTTTGTCTCTTGTCGAGACTTCTGCTGTGTACAAATCTTTCTGTAGACATGTGCTATGATTTACCTGAATGGCTATGTTACATAATATAGATTTTTAAAAAATTACTGAGATATAACATTAGCTTCAGGTGTACAGTATAATGATTCAGTATTTGCATATACTGGAAATAATCACCACAATAATCTAGTTAATGTTAATCACCATACAGAGTTACAAAACTTTTTGTTTATGATGAGAACGTTTAAGATCTATTCTCTTAGCAACTTTCAAATACACGACATGTAATGGTTTACACAATAAACTATACTCACCATGCTATACATTCCATCACCAGGGCTTATAACTGGAAACACGTACCCATAATAGAGTTTTCACAGTGAAAATGTTGGCTCCTATTCATCAAGAGTAAAAGAAATTTCTTTGGATAGATCTTATTCAAGGAGTTAGAGCCATGTCTCATTTTAGAATAACAGTCTTCCAAAGATTTAGTTTTTTTGTCTCTTTTGTTTTCTTTTGGTATTTAATGCTTTTGTTTAAAGATTGAATTCTTGGGTATCTGGAAAATTATACTGTCCAGAATGGCTCTTCCTTGAGGATTTCAGTTCATTAAGATTTTACATTTCGAGAGAGAGGGAGAGAAACAGAAGCAGACATAGAATTCATTCCAGTGTTTTTTCTACTGCAAACGACAAGGGACCCTGAGATGCGTCCTGCAGTGAGAACCTACCCTCCCCGCCTTCCCACCTAACTCCCGCTCTTGCCTCCCGCAGACCCGCTCCTGCGCCTGGCAGGTGGGCGCAGCCGCTGCGAGGGCCGCGTGGAGGTGTGGTACCAGGGCGAGTGGGGCACGGTATGTGACGACCACTGGAACATCAGGAACGCCCGTGTCGTGTGCCGCCTGCTGGGCTGCGGCCAAGCACTCAGTGCCCCGGGGCGCTGCCGCTTCGGCCCAGGCTTGGGGCCCATCCTGCTGGACGACGTGCGCTGCACAGGCACCGAGGATGCGCTGGACCACTGCGTCCACTCGGGCTGGGGTCGACACAACTGCTGGCACAGGGAGGACGCGGGCGTGGTCTGTGCAGGTACCCACCCCAGGCCCGCGGTCTTCCCCAGGCTCTGCCGCTTCTTTTCTCACCCAAGCATTCCCAAGGTCAGACCTCACCGCCCTGAGAAATACAAGGCTGGCCAAGGCGCCAGATTCTGGGGTAACAAGAGCGTATTTGCCACACCACCATTTTGGTAAATGTTTTTGTCACACAGCCCTGGGATTTTACCAGTCAGTTTTGTCCAATTGCAATTCAGAGCAATATTTGTTCCAAAACAGGGTGAAAAGATCATGGGGCCAAAGGAAGTGACAGTGTCATAGAGTGACATAGAACTTGGTGCCGTCATGAGAAGACAATTTATCCAAGGCCATTAAGGGCACCTTAAAGGACTCCTGGATGGAGTCCCTTCGTCACCTGGCCCTGGCCCTCAGAAGTCAGCAGCCTACCATGGCCTGACATCCCTGCATCCTTTTCATCCCTACCCCTTGCCTGAAATGCTGTTATTCTTTCCCAATATCTGCCTTGCCATTCTGACCCCCACGGGTTGACCCCCTTCTGTGTGGGGTAGTACTTCCTTCAATCTGTCTTAGATTCACCCACGTAAATCTCAGAGTTATGGAATTCTAAGATTTGGTGAACAAGTCTCAGCTCACCTTGCCTGTTCCCTTCTGAGGGGTTGCTTTTCTATAGGTACACAAGGTAAAGAAGATATTGCCATTGCTTTTTTTGATGTAGGAGTTACTCCTCTTCTGCACAGAAGTGGAGCCCAAATACAAATGAGATCAGAGCCCCTGGAGAGAAAACATGTGCCCAGCAAGAGCCACGGAGGATCGGTCTGGAATGGCGGGGCCTTTATCTTCCAGCTTTTGTTGGGCCTGTTCACTGTTCCACCCCTCCTCCTGCTGTCAGGGGCCCCACTGTAAACGACCATTGATTTTCCATTCTTGGATTATACACCATGGGGTTTCCTTTTCATTGGGTACGGCATCCGAAGGACCCGTGGTCTGGGGCCAAGAGTGTGTAAAGGGGTTGCGTGAGTCTGGCCAGCCATGCCTCCTGGCCTGGGCCCTGGCCCTAGGTTACTGTCCTGCCCTGCTTCTGGCCTGGGGAGGCCCTTGATAGCCACACACTTGCTATGTACCATTCAGAGTTCATGTACGCGGCAGCTGCAAAGCCCTGTAGTTACTATTCTCCTGCTGCAATAAATCTTCGTGTGTATAACACCCCTGTTAACATGGCTGCACACGTGCCAGAATCCCCCGTCTGGCTCCATCAGGAGGCCCCCGACTCTCCTTCCTTTGGCATTGCCCCGGAGTACTTCCATGCTGTCCTACCTTGGCTTTAATGCCTAAATCAAGTACGCCTGTCTCCCTGCGTTCCGTGCCCGCTGCCAGCTGTGTTGCCATCTCCCAGCATCGCTGCACAGCTGACATTTGCTCTCACCGTTCTCCCCTCACCAGGTGGAGCCGACTCTGTTGTGCCCAAGGACCACGGTAAAGTCTTCTGCTCTCGTAGGGGTTGAGGCTGCAGAAAGGGGGAGCTCGGAGAGCAGTTGCCCCAGGAAGAGAGAATAGGTGGGGGGGGGGACTACGTTCTGTGTCCCCACTGAGTCCTCTTGTATCTCCATCCACTCGTTGGGCTTTCGGAGGCTGGGGAAGAAGCCCCTTTGCACCTACCCCGACCCTTTGCATCCCCTCTTTTTTCCAACCAAATAGATGTATCTCAGGCCAGGGGTTTTCAACATGTGAAGTGAGCTGTCTTTAACTCCTTAGAAGAGGCTCTCGCTCACAGCCTATGGCATGCACACCGTAGGTGGGATTCCCCATGGATGTGGTGTGACTTTTGGAAAAGGGGGCTATAAATAAAGTCAATGAAAGTCAAGTCCTGTGTTGTGGGTGGGATGAGAGCTGAGCCCACCCAAGGCACTGCTAGTACTTTTATAAGGTAAACATACACCCACACCCGCCCCCACCCCCCTGATCTACACATCCAGTGAACCAGGTTCTCTCTGAGTCTTCTCACCCTTCTTCTCCTGCAGCCAAGCTCTCCTGCGCACCTCACCACTTCCAAGTCACCATTGACCGAGGCTACCTCCGGAGGCTGGGCTACTCCTCCTGGGATGTTCACTTAAATGATGAGCTCTGTCGCCCCCAAGTCACGGGGCGCTATCTGATCTTCAGCATTCCCTATGGCCACTGCGGAACCATCCAACAGGTGAGAAGCTGACAAGGTGGTGGTACCCTGCTGTGGATGGAGGTCAAGGAGAGAGGTTTGGACAATTCAACCACCTATTAAACACCTGAGTAGGGACAGAGGAAAGGCACAAGCCATGACTTTATTTGTGAGTTCAGTGAGACCTGGAACAACTCACTAATTTGTCTGAAACTTTCCTTCCATTTGGAAATTTGGGATACATACTGAATTTGGAACACACAGGAAAAAGTGCTGAGTACTGATGGACTGATGGAAGGATGGATGGATGGATGGACAGGTGGGCGGAGGGGGTGGATGGATGGGAGCTACTCCCTTAGCCCCAAAGCCCATGCGTTTTTCCCAACATGCTTCTTTATTCAGTACCAGTGCACACCTGCCATGTGCAAGCTGTGGTGCTGGGCACGGGGGAAGACAGAGGATCTGTCTGTCTGACTGCTATGTTTCTAACCAGGTCGCTCCCTATATTTCTCAGTCTAGAACATGTATGTATTGTGAAATGCATATGTTTAGTTCAATTTCCTTAACCACCATTTCACAAAATAATGTCCTGAAGCTAAGGAAACAAGAATACCAAAGATGTAGGAAAAGTATGTGATCACTAAATCATTTTCCTTAGTGCATTTAACAGCATAGCATGTCCCAAAGCAGATTCCCATGCTATTCGTCCATTCCTTGGCATCCGTGTTTAGGCACACAGAAAACATGACATTGTTGGAGGTTGACTTCATTCACATGGTTGAATTCCATACTTGACATTTTGTCTATTCAACGAGGCCAACCATGGTCATTCTTATCCTTCTTGCCCTGGAAGTTTAGTTTTCACTTCAGGAGTGTCTGCCGGGGAGCCATGCTTGCAGCCCCTTGTGTCTTGGAGGAGGGCAGCCCTAGAAGTGCAGGGCCATCAGACAGGACCATCATCAGGCCTGTCTGGCCCTGGCCGGCCCAGCTTCCCCGGCAAGCCTCATGTGCTCGCCACAGGGTGTGCCACCATGGCCCAGGGCCACCCGCAGGGACACCACCACCACAGGAAGCTCCTGCGTCTGATTCCAGAGTCAATGAATGAACAACCTTCCAGGTGCTGAGGACACAGCCACCAGCAAAAATTAAGGGGGCCTGGGCCATTTGAGAAAAGGGAGATTGGAACTGGACAAATGCAGATGAAGGTCCTTTACAGTGAAAGGGGTCAAGAAGACAATAAAACAAGGAAGGGAATGGAAGATGGTTTGGGGTGGAAAGAAGGTCCCAGCCAAGGAGCCGAGGCCTAACCGAGGAGTGGAGCTGGGGGAAGGTGAACAGGACCACTCCCAGCAGAGGGTTGGCAGGTGCAGGGGCCCCAGGGCAGCCGCAAACTTGGGGGGCTCCAGGAAGGCCTGTGAACATTGGGAAGCCCAAGATCAGATTGGAAAGGGCCAGGGTCCTGTGGTGTCAGAGTTGAAGTTTTCTTCTAAACAGTGCATTCTCAACAAGGATGATGTAAACCTCAGGGGGTAGGAGAAATATTCGTTCTTAAGAGCAAAAAAAAAAAACATCTTTCTTTATGGGTAAAGCACAGATACGTGTACAGAACATCTACAGTGGATTGTTGTACTAAATTTTCACAATGGGGGCTGGGGAGGGGCGGGGTGAGGAGGAAAACAAATATCTATGAAAGCAGACCAGTGAGAAACAGTGACATAAGCAGTCCTTGGAGGGCTCCAAGGCAGAACATCACAGGATCTGAGTCACATGGACCGAGGATTCCTTGGACTTATGTCCCTGACAGGCTGAGGCTCTGGGCGACGCACAGGGTGGTGGGAAGGGGGCCACCAGAGCCTCACCAGCCTGCACCCCCTCTCCACCCCTTCAAGTCAGGCTGGACTGGAAGGAGCGAGGCTGACAGTGAGGGTCAGCAGGGCCAGGCCATAGCTCACAGAGCCAGCACTGCTCTGGGGTCAAGAGCAGGGAGGAGCCAGAAGAAAGGATAAGAGCCCTGGTCAGGGATAGTCACTTGTCTGACAGTCTGGTTGGCTGAGGGAATGGAATATATGGAAGAACGACCTCAGCAGCCAGCACGGACCTTGCACCCCACCTCAGACCCCCACAGCCTGGTGCTTACAGGAGGGAGGGAGAGAGTCCAGGGCAGACTTGCCCATCAGGGGCCTCCCTGAATGCACCCTGAACTCCAAGAGCAAGGTCTCCCCATCATGGCATTAGGTAGCACAGAGGCCTCCCGGCTGGCAGCTCATCAACAAGCTCGCACCAAGCTGGTACTGAGCAGTAGAGGTCTCTGCTCCTGAAGGGAGGTGCTGGTCAGGGAGCCAGGAGCACTGGCCACCAACCCGCCTCTCTCCCTCCCTCCCAGGAAAACTTCGGCTCCCTCAGCTACTCCAACTCCATCAGAGGCCGGGTATGGGGCCACCCTGGCCGAGTCATCGTGCGGCACAAGGTGCCTCAGCTGAAGTTCACCTGCACCGTAGATGGCCCGTCAGCAATTGAAATTGTTTCTGGGGCAGACATCCCAAGGCGGGGTGCCAGCTACGATGTATCCATATCATTCCTCGAGTTGCCCATGTCCCCACAAGAGGGGAGCAAGGGGCCGTACTACGCCAGCCAGAGGAAAGAGATCTTCCTCGAGGCCACACTCCGCACCCCTGATCGCCACCTGAGGCTCTTTGTGGACACCTGTGTGGCTTCTCCAGATCCTCAGGATTTTACAACTGTCAAGTACGATTTGATCCGACAAGGGTAAGGATGATGGAAGGACCTCTGGGGTTGACTGTTGTATTCACGTGGCATTTTGGGAGGACCCTTAAATTCTCAGCTGGTAGTCTGAAATCATAACATTGTGCAAGAGTCCTTGTTGTGCCCCAGAGGTAGAGTCGGGGCCCTCGCCATACCTCTGATCCCATTTGGGGACAAATAGTTGTAGGAAGTGTGGACAACTTCTCTGGAATTTCCAGAGTCCTGACAGAGCCCTTGTCCTCCCATCTCACCTTTTCATCCCCTTCCTTCCTCTGTAAGTTGTATGACTTCATTACACTGGCCCTTCCCCAGATCACTGGGCCTACACTGGCGAGCTGGTTGGTTAGCCCAGGCTAAGTTCTTACAGTGGTGAGATTTATTCTGGCTCCTTCGTCAAACAATGGACTTGTCAACTTAGAACTCTGGCGAGTTATTTGCCTTGACAGCTCCCTTGTGCCCTATTAGGGCAAAATGCATTTGGATGGGCAATTGGCAACCAGACAAAAAGAACAAAACCTCATTGCTTTCTAGAACCCTGAGAAGCATCGCAGTGCCTGTTGCCCAAAGCCCGGGGCGAGCAAGGGGCGGTGTGTCCCGCAGGTGGCATGAGCCAGGGCGTGGGCAGTGCACAGGTGCAGCCCTGAACTGCCTCGAGTCAGAGTGAGAACGCTCCTCCCTTCTGTTCTCCTCACAAACGTACGAAGGAGAGAGGCCCAGTTCGGTGCCAGAACTGAACAACCGCCACTTTTTTCTTCTGCTTGTTTTAGGTTTAATTTTCTCTTCACCACCTAATTTCCTAAGGTGGAAGCTTGCATTATTGCATTTAGATTGTCCTTCTTTTCCAATGTATGCATCTAATGCTATAGATTTCTCTCTAAGCAACCCTAGCTGCTTCCTACAAATTTTGGTAAATTGTATATTCATTTTCACATAGTTCAAAATTTTTTATAAAAATTTCTTTTGAGACCTTTTTCTTTGATCTGGCTCTCTGGATGTAATTGAGTTTGGACTGTTGTTGGGTCATTCTTCAGCGGGTCCTTCCCTCCAGCTGGCTGACCGAGGGTCCCTCGCCCACCACTCTTGCATGTTTTTGTGCAGGTGCACCGATTTTTCTTCCCAAATCTGTCTCTGGTGAGGTCAGATGTTGAGCCTGTCTGACCTTAGGCAGCCTGCTCGAGACTTCCAGGGATCTACTGTCTGTGGCTGTCTCCTTCAGTTGTTAATCTAGTGACTCTGCACTCAGCAGTCAGGCTTAAGCCCTGGAGGGCTGGGAATCCCTCCTGGGGGCGGGGCTGTTGTTTCCCCTCAGGCTGCTGCTGCTCACAGGAGTGGTCAGCTGAGCAGGATGGCTGCTGTTGTCTGGGGGATGACTCAGCAGCGGGACCCTAGAGGCTACTCTCTCAGCTTTCTTCCCAAAGCCTTCGTCCCCAGTCTCTCCTCGGGCATCTCTGGCCCACGCTGGCCCTGCCTTTGCCAGAGCCCAGGGTAAGTGGCTGCGAATGAAAATTTGTGCATTGGCCCTTTAAATGACTCTTTGTGTCTCTAGCCATCCGTCTCTGGCAGAGCCAACCCTGCCGCTTTTTTGCCTCCGGTTGTTATCTGTGTACTTTTTGGGCTCTGGTGTTCCAGGCTGGGGATCCCAGCTTAGGGTTTAGACCCCACATTTCTCAGGGGAATCCTATCAGCAGCTTAATTGTCCTCCAGCTCTGCTGCCTGTGGGCGCCCGGCCAGCCCTCTCAAGTCTCCACCACACTCCTTACCAGACAGCTTGTGCTGAAGCTGGTTCTGTATGTCCAAGGTTATATGGCTTCTCTCATGCTCTTATTCAGTTGTTTGTTCCAGGTGTTTCTCCACAACTGAGTTGTAATTGCAGATTGGTCCTGGGTGGAGGTTAGTATGGCTCCTCTCACTGCCCCGCCAACCTGCGCCGTCGTGGGGGGGGCAGGTTTTTTCTCTGATGTGTGGGTTACTCAGAAGTGTGTTAACTTCCAAATATTTAGGGACTTTCTGTTACTGACTTCTAGTTTAATTCCAGGGTAATCTCAGGGTATATTTTGTGGGGTTTCTCTCCTTTTAAATTTGTTAAGACTTGTTTTATGGTCCAGACAGTGGTCTATGTTGGTGGATGTTCCCTGTGGGCCTGAGAAGAATGTGTATTCAGCCGTTGTTGGACGGAGTGTTCTGTGAGTGCCAGTCAGGTGTCACTGACTGACTGCGCATCTCTGGTCTCTGTGTGTCTCCTGATTTTCTGCCCGATCTCTCAATTCCTGATGGAGAAGCATGGACATCACCAGCCATTAGAGTGGGCTCTTTGATTTTTCTGTGTGGGTCTATCAGTTTTTGCCTTATATATTTTAACACCCTATTGTTAGGTGCATATACATTAAGGATTGTTATGTCTTATGGAAGGATTGATCTCTTTATTATTATGCCATGCCCCCCTCCATCCCTGTTATCCTGGCTCTGAAGTCTGTTTCCTTTGGAATTAATATCGCTTCTCCAGCTTTCTTTTGATTAGTTCTTGTATTAGCATAGTAAATCTCTATCCTTTTACTTTAAATGTATGTCTTGATACTTAAAATGGGTTTCTTACAATATATAGTTAGGTCTTGATTTTTAAAAAATCTACTGGGACAGTCTCTGTCTTTAAATTAGCAGAGGGTGCTCTAGAATCTGCTTTAATATTTAGACCACTCACATAGCGTAATTGTTGATCTAGTTGGATTCAAAGCTGCCATCTTGCTAACTGTTTTCTATTAGTAGCATTTGTTCCTCCCCCCACTCCCCTTTTGCTGCCTTCTCTGGCTTTAATTGAGCATTTTATATTACTCCATTCTTCCTCCTCTCTTGATGTACATTTAGATAGACTTCTTTTTTCAGTGGGTGCACCAGGGTTCACAAAATTCATTTTTAAATAATCTAAGTTGACCTTCACATAATGCAGCCCCCATGTTTAATGTCCCCTTGTGACAAAGCAGAGTCGGCCTTCGGAAGGCAACAGTTCTAGCTAGAATTTGATCACCTTGTTTTATGCATATTTGCTTGTTTCATAGTCCCCTTCTATTTCTGGCCAAGAATAGTGGTTTTTCCACTCATAGCGCTGCTATGACAATGTTTTCCAGAACAGGGACAGAGTGGTAGTGGGAAGAGCTCCGTGTGGAACTCAGAATTCTGAGTCCACACCTGTGTGTGTGCGTCAGAGTGAAGTCACACTGCCCTTGAAGTTAATGCTTTTGGTCTGGGGCTCTTCTTCCTATCAGCTGCATCAAAGACAATACCTACGTCACCCTTCACTCTCACCAGAACATGGCCCAGTTCAAGTTCGACGCCTTCAGCATCCTCAGCAGCTATGATGTGGTCTATCTGCAATGTAAGATTGCTGTGTGCCAAGTCGGGGACCCCTCCTCCCGCTGCTCCCAGGGCTGTGTGGAGCGCAGTCAGAGGAGTGTGGACCCCGAGGGGCCCACAAAAAAGCGGGCTGATCACTTCCAGGTGGTGGGGCCCCTGGAAATCCAGAGAGGAGCCGGTCAGAGCAAGCACTTTGTGTGACTCCTGCAGTTTTCAACAAATCTGTTAGAAATTAGAGGCAAAGTGTATTTCTCCCCAATGAACTAATACATTTGATAAATCAGAGGTTGTCCACATGGACATCGGGTAAAAAAGAAACAGCTGAAGAGATTCTGGCTGTGCTTTGTTGCTAATAAATCTTTTCTGATGACTAAGCTTCTTTTTGTAATTTGTGGAATTTATTGGGATGAAATTTATTGGGATAAAATTATGTAGGTTTCAGGTGTACAGTTCTATAATTTATCATCTGTATATTGTACTGTGTGTTCACCACCTCACGATTGCTAAAGTTCTAAGGCAGTTGGTCTCTTTGAGGCTAGAAATGTTGCATTTTCCCCTCTTCACTACCCAGAATGTGATCGCTGTCTTAAACCACACAACGTATGACAAAGAACAGTTATTGCTCTATAATGAATCGCCAACTTGAAGATACTTTAGAATTGTCTCCTTTGTGTTCAGGTGTGAGTAGGTGGATCTTTTTATTTCTGCCCCTGTGATACTGTCAGGATTTATTTTCAGGTCTTGGCGAGAGTGTTATGAAAAATAAATTAAGCGTCAGTCAGGAAGCCCCTACTCTTTTTTAAAAAACTAAAAACTGGCCAGTTGAATGAAATGCATTATTTACTCGTCGTTACTGACTCAACACAAGCTTTGTTTGTTTCAAAGCAAACAAATTGGGCTCAGACTTTGCTGGGTGCTGGCTATAGCTCTCAGGTAGATTCCCAAACAAAAGCACAAGACCACTCCTGGCTGCTTTCTGAGGCCGCACACACTGAGTCTGTGTCCCAGACCCTCATGGCACGACAGCGACCTGGCAAGCACGTGGGAAGCCTGAAAAGCACACGAGAAAACATTCACATCTTCCCACATCCTCCTGGAAAGCGAGGGCAGTGCCCACTTCACCTAATCTCTCCTTTTATCTTGACAGAAAAAGTCCGTACTAGGCTCAATACCTTCAAAGTTGTCTTTAAAGAAACAGACCTGAACATAGAATTTTTCTTTGCTTGTCAGGAAATACTCAGTAGTAATATTTAAGATACGAGTCTTCAACAACAAGAAACGGTTCCCTTCTTTGTCAAGAACTAGCATGTACCAGATGAGAATCCAGGATGGCCAATTCCCCCGGGGAGTGTTTGGCGGGGCCTGGGAGAGAATCCCGAAGCCCCGACAGATGGAATCGGACAAGTGACCTGAAGACAGACGGATCCTCGAGAGGGGAACATCTCAGTCTCATGCAACCTGCCCTTCATGGACCACTGTCTTGGTAAAAACACAACACTAACGTTTACTTTGATGAGGTTCCCTCTACACGTAGTAAAAGCTGATGAGATGGAACTGCTGGTCGGTTCGAAGAAGACGGCATCTCTAATGCAAACGTTCACTAGTTTCATCTTCAGTCACGTGAAATCATAATTTTAGCATTTGCCATCTGTTTCATGTGAATGCTTCAAATGAATACGTTTCTTCAAAGGAACTTGAGTGGCCAGAGTTTCTACTTTCAAAAGTTCGCCTGCCCATTAGCTGGACCTCTCCATGCCGTGTTAAGGAACGGGGAGGCCACCAACTCCCGGAATTGAGCGTTTTATGGATTTTAGCAACCCCTGATGTGAAAGTGAGGGCAGTGAAAGGATGGAATGTTAAGACAATGAAAAGGGCCCAGGGTACTTCCAGGTGAGGTTCTCTGCGTGCTGGTCAGCAGATGGGATCCAGGGAGCTGCCCTTCCCAACAGCACCTCATGTGAGTCTCAGGAATGCTGGAGTTTGAAAGCCATGGCCACCGTCTGGCACCCCGTACCCCAGGAATCAAAACGCACTTGACAGGGAGAAGCCTACCTCCCAGAAACACCAGTGGGTTCAGTCAAAAAGCCCCAAGAGAAGCCTGCTGTCTCGAGTCAAAGGACCAGCGAAGGCACAGGAAAGCAAGACAGAAAACTTGAGACAATACCTGCCCTGCTCCAAACACCACAGGGGAAGCTGTAGCTTCACCCCTACCCGGCCAGCAGAGGTGACGTGGGGAGCCTAGACTTCAGCCTGCCCCCAGCACCCCTTACGTCTGATACCAGGGTGGTATCAGAGGAGGCAGAGTGGGGAGCTGGGACTTTTATCACCTCCGGGCCCTGCACCCCCGGGTCAGGTGGAGACCGGGTAGGGATCCAGCACTTCCAGCCCCCCAGACTGGGACAAGACACCCCTTTGAGCCTGCTCTGGGGCAGTCTCAGAGGCCCAGTAGAGAGCCAGCACTTCTGGCCCCACCCAGAGGCACCCCACCGTCCTGGCAGGAGGGAGCAGCCCAGGCCACCCGGCTCAGCGGTAAGGAGGCGATGTCCCCATCTTGTTTGCAAGTGCTGGTGTGGCATTGGCTGGCTTTCTTTTCCCCTGAAACACTTTGTTAAGCATGTCTCTTGAATACAGCATAGAGTCAGACTTGACTTTGTGAGACATTCCGAAAAGTCTCCTTCTTCAAGAAGTGAGTGCAGTGACCACCCTGGTGTGACACCCAGGTCGCCCTCCCTTCGAGGGAGTCACTCCTTCTTCAAGCTACTGGGAGCTTTGGTGGCTCAGCACTACTGCTTTTCAGGAATTTCCCTCAGCTCAAGGCAGCTTTGTCCAGGTTCACAGCCTTCAACCAATGACTAGTCAATGGAGGCATGTAAGGTCCTGGGCACCACGCCTGCTGGGGGCATCTCAGAAGGGCCAGCCCAGCCCAGGAGCCCCACGGGTAGGCTAGGCCTTCCACTGCAGCTGCCTCACAGTCCGCCTGCTGCCCTGCCGGTCCTGCTCCCCGCCCCTTGCCCTCACCCCTCAAAGGGGTAGATCCTGAGCGCGTTCCCCAGGTGTCCTCCGCACACAAAGCCTGGTGTCAGAGGCATTGCCTGGGAACCGGCCCGTGACAGTCAGTAGCAGGTGTGGTCGGAGGAAGCCGGTTCTAAAACGAGACTTGGGGGCTGGCCATGGGGACACATTGGGGGTGGTCAGTGGGGCACAGACATTCTCTCATGGAACCCTTGCTGCCCTCCCAGGAAGGGGCCCGACAGTGGTTACCATCCTTATTTGCAATGGAGAAGATCAAGGCCAAAGTTGTTCTGGCCAAGGTAACTCACCAGGTTAAGTAGAAGAACTACAACCCCAGGCCACCAACTCCAGATCCAGGGCCTTTACTCACTCCCATGCAGTTTTTCCTAAAGAAAAAAGCCCTGATACTATTATACAGTGGTACTACGTACTGATGACACGCCAGGATCACTCAACAGGGCCACTACAGAGGGTGTGTGAGTCGTGGTGATATGATTATGTGCTCTCTAGGGAGCCACTGTGCTTGACAGTTTCCTTAGGATGACCCTGGGGCACCTGGGGAGCCTCTGGCTACCGCACACCTGGTGGCCAGAAACATCAGCCACTTCCCGACATGGGCACAGCTTGTTCTCGCCAAGTTCTTATGTGATTTCACATTAGGTTAGAAAAGAACCTGGCAGTAGAGCCATTCAGGTAACAACATATGGATGAACTTGGAGGAGACTCAGGTGCGTGGCTACTTGGAGAACTCTTTGGAAGATCCGTGAGGAAATATTAGAAAGAAATTGGGGGGATCTTCTCTGATTTGGAGCTGGGAATCAGCTGAGCCCCTAAGGACCTGTTCTGTGGGGGTGGAGACACTGTCGTATCCACCATGTGTCCTTCCCACATGCTGTACACCCAATGCACGTAATACACGTGTCCAGGAAACAGAGAACGCCTTTGGGCCCCCGGGAGTGAGGCTGACTGTCTGGACACGTATCAGAACCTGAACCCAGGAGTGGTGTTCGGTGAGGAGGCAGAGCCGTGCTGCTCATCCAAGAGAAAAAATGAGGCGTGACGTGGGGCATGTATACAATTGGCTCACATCGAGGGCTTTAATAATATTTGTTCTGCCAGAGTAGACAGGAAAGTGGAAGTCAGACTGTTCCTCATTAGGGCGACTACTTTCAGCTTTGGTTATTGGTTATTGGTTATTGGTTATTTAGTGATAACAGGGCAGAGAATTGTTTTATCACATTCGCCCAGAAATGTACAGAAGCCTCTCCTTTTACAGTCGGGTTCTTCCTACCAGATCCCCTTCTGAGATGTTCGGGCGTGACGTGCTGAGACTGTGCATTCGACAAAGGTGGCCGTTCTCTGTGTCACAGTGTCATTTCAGAAGTTTGTACGAGCTTCAGAAGGGAGCATGTTTGCGTCCAGGAAACAATTCTAATACTGAAGACTACTTTTCTGAAATGACAACCACCATTTTCTTATCACCTAATGTATGGTTGATGTCCTTTTTCATAATCACAAAATATTTTTAGAACTTGTTAACTAGTTGGGTGGCTTTCGTTTTTAACATGAGAGATACTGCTTCTCGAGTTGGTCATCCTGCAAGGAAACCCACTCTGACCGCCAGAACAGGACCAGATTTTCCCCATGTATTCGTGGTGCATGGAGCCCTCGGGGAGCCTCTCCTCCTGCATTTGGGCGCAATGTGTCTCGGACGGCTGGCTGAACCCTTTAGTTAATAGTTCGGCAGCTGCTGGTATTTGAAGTCTGTTCTCCGGTTCACAAAGTGCCTCAGGACAAGTACGGCCACGAGCACAACATTCAGGGAAAGGACCAGGAATGAAAACAGATGCAAACTGCTGAAAGGCTGGTTCGGAGTGACTTCTCCGGGCATTGGGTTCTGAAATCCTGTAATGGGAAACAAGATAAAAACTGTTCAAAGAAAAGCATTATGTGGCCTTACAAAATGTTTGTAGACCTTTATCTCCACGTAGCCTGTGAACCTTATGCATCAATTAATGTATAATATATACGGCTGACCCAACATACAGCCAATGTTATCAACACATATATAAACTGTGATCAAATTTCTGAATTAGTTATGCTTGTATTTACTTTCCAAGACAAGTTGTCCTTACATTTAGTTTAAATGCTTAACTCAGTTTGGTTCCCTGAATTCAGTGAAAACATGTGAAATTCAAGCAAGTGTTACCCAGAAATGCAGGTTCAGTTACTAGTGGTCACTACACCCCATCATTGTCAAAACACACTTGATTGCTGTAGAAAAATTAGTTTCTGCTCTTGAAATAGGAAAGGATACTTTTCTAACGTATGTGATATTTTTAATAATTAATAATTTTTATTCACAGCTTTTTAACTAATCTCAAAGTAATAATCATAGGTGCATTGTCTTTTTAGTGAGTATGTTTATAAGATTACTGATTTTTTTTTTTTTTTTGCCTTGGCTGGTTTGGCTCAGTGGACTGAGCTTTGGCCTGCAAACCAAAAGGTTATCGGTTCGATTCTTAGTCAAGGCACATGCCTGGGTTGTGGGCCAACTCCTCAGTTAGGGGTGTGCGAGAGGCAACCAATTGATGTCTCTCTCACACATCCTTGTTTCTCTTCCTCTCTTTCTCCCTCCCTTCCCCTCTCTAAAAATAAATAAATAAATAACTGCTGATTTTAATTTTGTTTGTGTTCTTTTGTTTTTGTCATAGAACTATTTTCACAAACCACAATCATGCTCCTTCATAATCCACTCTAATAATAATAAAGAAGAGGTCATCAGATCCTTTATGCTAAGATCATCTTCACATAAGATAAAGTCTTATTAACAGTTTTTATATAATTATGACTTATCCTAGGCCATTTAATTATGGCTTATCCTTGAGGATTTCCTGATGCCTCTTTCCCATGCAGTGTGCTGGACCCCAGGCTTCAGTCCTTTAAAAAGAAGCAGGGCAGTCTTGAAAATATAATATTTTCGATGTTTTTTTTAAAATAGCTTTTTTTCTAAATAGGCGATAGTGTGGGATGCTGGTTCTCTTCTGCTCATTTAGGAGTGAAAATACATTGCTTTTGATTTGCTTATCTGCCAGTAGGATTTATAATAAGGAATCAGGAAGCTAAGGAAGAGTGTTGTGCTTAGAAACGAGGACATTACATTTTTACTCAAAAGCCACATGAATAATGCTCAATTATCAGTGTGTGGCACACTTAAACTCTACATGGTTTACATGTTCTCACTCAGGGAAATAAAAATGAATCGTGTGTGCTTAAAACTCATAACTCATTTAGGGTTTTGCTAAGATGATCTTAAATCTCTAAACTGCACACATTTTAAAAGGACTACATTCGAGTAGTCATTTATGAGCCACGAAATGTTCTTAGGGGATGAAATAGCTTTTTTGCACCCGAATTCCCACCTGCACGTTGGTCCCTTCTCAGACGAATGGGCCCGATGACGGCATCTGCCTTCCATTTGTACGAAGAAATGTCTCGTTTCCTTCTGGAGACGCAGCCTTGGCTGCAGCGAGACTGGTGGTCACCACTGTCGCATATGAACACCCTACACTGTAGATAGACGGAGCCCAGGCTTCTCAAGAATTTAAACACGTTGAACTGGAATCTTCCATGGTGCGCAGATAAGGGATATATCTCGCACGTTTCATCTCGATTACATCTGGAACAGAGTTTATGATACACTTAGAAAGTGAACAGAAGTTCAGTCTTTTCCATATTGAAAAATGGTACTGAGTTTTGTTCAAACTGTCTGATTTATGGATCCAGAAATTTTTCTAGATAGGCAGTGTCTTAACCTTAGTACTGTGACTAAGACTGTGGATCTGACTCCTGGGTAAGATGAAGTTCCCACCAGCTGGGAAATTCCTATTCCATGTGAATTAATTAGAAAATCAATTCCAACTTATTAGAACTCAAACCCCTTACTTTACCTACTTGCTATGAATGTGTAGTATGTTGATATAGTTAAAGTCCATCAGCTTAAACAAAATAAAAGGAAACTCTCCTGTAAAAAAAAAAACTTTAAAAAATAATAATGTGCCCTGGTTGGTGTGACTCAGTGGATTGAGCACTAGCCTGTGAACCAAAAAGTCACCAGTTCAATACCCAGTCACAGCACATGCCTGGCTTGCAGGCCAGGTCTCCAGTTTGGGGCAGAGGCAACCAATCGATGTTTCTCTCCTCTTTCTCCCTCCCTTCCCCTTTCTCTACAAGCAAACAAATAAAATCTTTTAAAAAATAAATAATGCCACATAAACTTTACTGAATATATAATATTTATGTTTAAACCGGGGACGTGTAAAATAATGTTCTGGGTTATTGTTGAAAATAACCAAAAGGTAAAAAAAAAAAAAAAAGCAAAAATACACATAAAGCTTTCTTGACAAAAAATAAGTTTGTATCTATCAGCAAATATTTTGTGAATACACTTAAAATTTAGTAGATATGGGCCACGGCTGTAAAAATGTTTCAATTTAAATCAGTTGTAACTAAACACAGTAACTATTTTATAAAGTGATTGAATTTCTTAAATTCCATGGTGGTAGTACTAGAAAATTATGAATTATATCTAGACACACACGCAATCTTTCTTCAGGAAAGTAGCCCCCAGAAAAGACTGTCCCATGTCAGGACATACCCGCTCTTGATCAGGTCGTAGGTTGTGGACGTGAAGTCGGGCGTGGGCGAGGCCCTGCAGGTGTCCAGAAACACCACCAAGCTTGGGTCTGAGGTGTGTAGACTGACTTGAACGAAAAGATTTTGGTTCAGATCCACGTAATATGGTGACTCCAGTATCGGCTTTTCAAATGAATTGGACTCAAAGAGAGCCATGCTTGTGTTATATGTACCCAGTGCGCTCTGATTTTGTATGATGTCATCTTCTGTTATATACACCGTCTCCACGGTGGAGGTGTGCTCCATCTCACACTTCACAATGATCTGCAGGCGCTTCTGACGGGTGATCACTTCAGAAGCTGGAGGTGCAGAGAGGGTGATTGTGTTGGTGTAAGTAATCGAACGATCTTCCACCTGCAGAACAGAATGGAACTCAAATGTCATACTCTAAGTCCAGTGACATTTTAGAGTGTAGATGTGAACACCACTTGCAGGGAGGGACATCGCTTTCTTAAATCACAAGATAATGGCTCTCGTGTCAAAATACCATAAACCTTAAATGTGTTTTATTTAAGAAACATTCCGAGTAGGAAGAAAAAGTGCGCAATGAGAGATACAGCTTGGATGAGAAAGACTTGAAGAATCGGACAGATTTTTTTTTTCAGCTACATTCAAAATCGTTTTGAATGCAAATTTCCAGCCCCAGAAGGACTTTGGACCCAATGACAAGTTGGCTGTCATGAGTAGCACCACATTATTGTGGCTGACAGAATGGTTTCCCAAGTGACCATGAACAGAGGGCCTGGAGTAGGTTCTATCCAGCCAGCGCCCCCTAGAGACTCACACTGTGGTAACTCAGCTGTTCCTTTGGGGCCAAAATTAAACAACTAAATCAAGATTTCCTTCCATCCTTATCAATTCCTGTTGTTTAATGACTTAAGTGAAAAGTTTAGGGTTTCTATCCTAAAGGGTTGAAACTGTAGAACAAATCACAGACATCCTTCATGTTTAAAATAAGGATGAGGTTTTCACCTTCTGTCTTTATAGCGGAAAGAAGGTCATAAAAATACAGCCAGACTTTTGCTAAATGTGAGATAGAAACATTTTCTAGGCAAGTATTAGTAGTAAGCTACTAACCCTGCAGTGTGTAGGTGTTGGAACTCTCTCCAGGGAATTTTCAGAGCTCTTTCCCTTTTGGGAAGATACGCACCCTCTAGTTACCCTGAAATTGAAGGCAGTAATTTGGCATTCGTGTGTAAATTAGTGTGTGCACTTCTATGTCCACACATGTGTACCATGTGCCAAACCACTAAGATTTGGAAGTTGTTCATTCAAGCAGCCAGCAAGCATTACATATCTATACCACCAAACCTACCTTTCACATTTGACACCACCCAGCTACCAATACTTCACTTAAAGAAAAGAAACACAATAGAATAAAAATAACATTTAAAAAATATTCCACTTTACCTTTTTAACTGTACCACATCCATCAAGAGGGATAGAAAATTCCACCACATTTGATACTTTGGGTCTGCAAGTTGGGTCATTGAGCCGTAAGTTATTCTCATTGTATTTGAAAGATTCCAGGTAGAATTTACTTATCATAGCTCTCATCTTGTCAGAGGAGCAAATTAAAGAAGCTGTCCAAAAAAGGGGGGGGAGGGTATGATCATGTTTATGTCAACTAGGAACTGAGATAACAGAGCAATTGCTCCACCGTTTTTCAATGTTCACCATGACCTTGGTTGTAGCTAGAATCTATAAATCTAATATTTCTAATTGTACTTTGCAGAAGGCATTGAGGAAACCAGTCCACACTTTCTCAGGTTAATGCCACCATTAACTTCCTCTTTTACTAAGCAATGCACAGAACTGATTCTCAAGCTTCAGACTGTGAATATTTTCCAAACTATATGTGTCTGTCATATCCTTTGGAACAGGCTTTGAGACAAATCCATGTCTCAGGCTTGCCAACAGGGATAGCCATTCCCAGGACAAGAATAAAAGAGCAGTTTCTACATACACAATCTTCGTGAGAGCTCCAAATAGCTAAGGAACATGACTTACTTGTGTTGACGTTTTCTGCATAAATCGAAGCGTAGGAAGCAGAAAAGCCCCGGTAGGAGTTGGCGTAATCTGTAGACAGCACGACGGTCAACGAGTTGGACGAGGACTCGAAGCTGGGCTTCACACGGCCACACACTTGTCCAATCAGGCCAGAGGTGGTGGAGGGGCCGTCATAGACAGCAACGAAGTCAAATCGGCAGTTCTTGTCCACTTCTAGGCTGGAGAAGTAGTAGAGCTGCTGGTAAAAGAGCTTGCAAGCCAGTTCAATTCTATTTTCTATAATCCCACCCATCCCAGTCTTTTGTGATGAAGGATTTCTCCTTGCATTGCTGTCTCACGTTTATAATGACAAACCTGGAGCTTCCCCAGTCCCCGACATGACCTCAGAATCTTCAGGAATACAGCTTAGCTCAATGCAATAGCATTGGTGTTTCTTTATACAACCTGTTCTTTGAAAAGCACCCATCTATGGGGGGTGCACGTGATCATTTCTCTTCCCCAGGACTCCCTCCCCTGCCAGGTGGGCTTACTACATTTGCTCCAGCAGGAGAAATGGACCAGAGTACTTACAAAATTTCCTTGAAGTTTAATTCTATCTTGTAACCTTCCTCCACTTGTATGTGCCACACACAATAAGCCATCTCAGGATGTGAATTTGGGTAGTTGGGGCTGGTAAAGGAACCTTCGGGGTTGTCCAGGTACCCACCACAGTTTGGAATAGCTGAAAGGGATGTGAGGATGACCAGAAATATAAATCAAGATAGAGCCTTCTTTTACTCTCTGTGTCGTGCATTAGTGAGAGCTTAATCCACCTTCCAGAGTTTTATTCCAGCTCCCTCTTGCAGACTGGTCGAGTATTGAGATGTTCATCCTCCCCATCACCGAGTGTCTGCCCAGGGGTGCTGTGCTGCTGCCCGACAGATACTATTAAAATCTCATGGAGGGTTAGCAACAGGGGAGTGGGAGAAGGAGAAGGGGGAGAAGGTACAGAGAATAAGTAGCATAGACAGTAGGTAGAACATAGATAGGGGAGAGGGCAAGAATAGTATGGGAAATATAGAATCTAAAGAACTTGAGATACATGGACATGAACTAAAGGGGGGAAATGGTGGGGGTGGGGGTGCAGGGTGGAGGGGAATGAAGGGGGGAATAGAACAACTGTAATGGCATAATCAATAAAATAAAAATAAAAATAAATAAATAAAATCTCACTTCAAAATCTGCCCCAGCTGTAGAGACCCTCCATTCTGGACTGAACCATAAAAACTAAAGTCACACTCTGAGGACCGTCACTGAAGGCTCTTCCACACGTGGCCCCAGACTAGCTTTCTGGTCTCATCAGCCTCCACCATGTGACCCGCTGGTCCAGCCTGTCCTTCCTTCCCAGGTCTCCTCAGGCCGTTGGTTGCAGCAGACAGGAGTCCTCCCCCCACCCCGCCCCCGACTCCTGCCTCTCCCGACCCTGGTCCTACCACTGCTCCAGCTCAGCTCAGATCAGATGCAGCCCTCATGAAGCTACCTTGGTTCTTCCCCTCCCCGGAAGGTAAGCAAGCAGCTGGATGGATGAAACACCAAGAAACCACACCGAGGGCTCTTTTTAGGGGCTTGTAAAATGCTTTTGATTGGCTAGAGCACAGGATACGTGTCAGGCAGGGGCTGGAGGTAAGGTGGGAAAAGGTGCCGGGTGCAGCTTGGGAAACCATGTCTGCTCCTCTCCAGAGATTCACTGGCACCACGGACCCAGTGGTTTAACAGGAGAGTGACCCAGTCCACTCCGGGCCTCAGAAAGGAGACCAGAGCAGAGCTTCTCTCATGGACCATCCACAGAACTACCTGTCACCCTGCTGTGGCATTTAGGTGCCAAGAGTGCAAAGCCAGACCATTGGAGCCTCCAACTTCCTGGCAGGCTTAGGTTCAGAGGTCAGGTCAGAGGTGAGGTCAGAGATTCTCAGCTTGCACTCCCCAGATGACCTGTCTTTTTCAAGAATCACCTGGGAGCCTCGTTAAACTTGAGAACCCTAAAGCCCCAACCCTGATCTAATGGATCAGACTAAGGGAGGGGCACTCCCTGAACAGACATTTCAAAGGATCTCAGGCCTGTTTATTACTAAACAGGCTGAACTTGGAGAGTCTGCTTCAGTCTCTAACTCACAGGAGAGCTCAACAGGCAGCCACCCAATCAGCCCCGCCCATCTGTCTCACCTGATCGCTGGTTGGAAATGAAGTTCAAGGGCTCCACTCTAGGACAAGTCAGGATCTCCCTGCAGGGAGCCCAGGACCCTGACTTCACAAGCCCTCCAGGTGATTCTCACAAACGGTGTCTGGGAGGGACAAGCCTCAGACTCTGGGCTACAGTGCCCCAGGCAGGGGTGTGGAAGCTTCTGTGCTCACACTGAAGGGTGAGCCACAGGTGTGTAAATGAGAACTTACAGGCGCTGGGAGAGAAGAAGTAGTAGAACATGAAGACGGTTCTCTGAATCCTTGCAGAGTCGGTGACTATTTGAAACGTCAGCGTATTGGATGATGATTCAAACACAGGAACGTAGTCATTTTTGCTGCAGACTTTCCCCAGCAGAGACCCCAGGGTGGAGTTCCCAACAAAAACTTGAATGTTTTCACTTTCACAGCTTCCATCTGGATCAAGCCTGCGAAGGAAACGCACCTGCGATTAAACAGCCACCAGCAAGAGGGCACCCAACCAGCAAGGGGTGGTCACGGTTTGCCAAGGAGTGGCACTTCTGTCTCCATGACCACCCTGCCTCAACTTCAAACCCCACCCATCTGTCGGTGGCTCAGGGGGCTGAACTGTCCTGCCAACGTAAGTGGGGAAGAGGGTCCCGGAACCCAGACCCCTGTTCTCCCAGTTTCCATCTCTCCTCTTCCCCATGCCCGTGGGGCTGTTTGGTGTAGGACTTCTTATTTAAAACTGAGTCCCCTTTGTCATCTGAAATCCAAGACTGTCAAGGTGGAGCAATTTCTCGGAAATGGCCACCCGTCTCAAGGTAAAGCAACTTGAGCATCTTCCTAGCTGCCCCCCCCACCCCGTGGCCTTGCGTCACCCCTTTGTCATGCAGCCCCGTGTCCTGCATTGGAAGGGCAGCCCGGGATGACTGTTTCTGCCCATTCCGACAGGGTCTCTCCAAATGCCCTTCGGAGACGCATTTCCAACATGACCTAGAGGAAAAACCACAAGGGTAGACGACCTGAATTTTTCTTCCACCTTAGCTACCTGCTGTGTAACTTTGGATGAGGGATTTAATCTTCCTTGACTTCAGTTTTCTAGTCTGTAACTCGGGATTGTCTCAGCCAACTTCATTCTATGGACAAGAATCACCTGGGAATGTTCCGAACATTATGTTCAGAACATTATAATGCTCTGAACCCGCAGCACCTGGCGCACTCCGGGCACACAGGACGTGTCCCATAAAAGTGCAATGTTCACTTCCCCTGCCCACACTTCTGGTCTTGCTTCTCCTCTCTTTTTACCAAGCAAAAACAGTGTATGTGTTTCTTAACAGCGCTACCATTCCAGGAAATTTGAAAGTCCCCCTTCTCTTTCGTTTCTCTGGGGGCCATGTGGAAGTCAGTTCCTATTTCAGTGGTCCAGGACCATCCTATTCAGAGTGTGGCACCTTGGCCGGCGGCAGCATCACCTGGGAACTCGTTGCATACAGGAATTCTCAGGCCCCACTCCCCCACCCCCGCCTGAATCAGAGAATCTGGGGCCAGCGCCCGGCCATCGTAGTGTATGAAACCCTGATAGTCTCTAGTCTTAGAACCACGGGGATAGGGTGAGCGTACATGGGGTCCTAGGACAATGTGTCAGTCAGCGTGGTTCTGTTATAACATGGATGGAATGGTAAAGCTTGTTTATGTCGATTCGCCATGGCGGAACTGGTTTCATTAGACATCACTTTGCTTAAAGTCACAGAAGCTGTTGATGACGTTCGGTGCAGACTTACTGTACTTGTGGCTAGAGGAGCCTACATACGCTTGGGCTTGAAATGATTAGAAAGAAAAACCCAGGCTGACAGCCCAGGAGGAAGTCTGGTAATGAGACGTAGAAAATAGGTGTTTCGCTCAAGAGCCAGGTGGCTCAGGTTCGAATCCTCCCCCACTTTTATTAGTGTGTGACTTTGGACACAGTTGAGAGACTTCTGTTGAGTGGGATTGAACTGCATCTGCCCCAGAGGGCTGTTGGGAGGACCAGCTGGGACCGACCTCAGGAAGCTGGAGTCTGGGAGTGCAGCCCCCTGTCTCAGCTGGACCCCCCCACTGCCACCACCTGGACACTGTCAACCGCTTGTGAGCATATATTCATTTCAAAATAAAAGTTTAAAATCCAAGGAAAAAAAAGACCGATGCCTCCTGGGTCCCGCCCCCAGAATTGTCAGCTGATTGTGTGGGGTGCAGCCCCGGACCCTGAGTTGGCCAGAGCTGCCCTGCTGATTCTAATGCCCAGCAAGGTGTGGGACCACCAGCTTAGTGCTTTAGGGCTGAGAATCTGGAACTGGATCAGTGGGCCCGAGCCCTGGTCATTCCCCTCCTGAGCGGCGTGACCTGAGACAAGTTCCGGACCTGCCTGTGCCCGCTGTGCTTGTGCTGACCTCAGAGAACCTCTGTGACCACAGCCTGGGGCGGGGCACAGGCCTCCAGCAGCGACTACCAGCCATCATCATCAACTCCGTGGTCGGGAGAGTCACCACCACCTCGAGAAGCCCCAGACTTCTGTCCATAGGACGCCCTGGTGTGGCCAGAGCTCCACCACCCTCTTTAGAAACTGCAGCCCCTACTTACTGGAAGTGGGAAAAGATGACTCGGATGCTTTTGTTTTCCGGCCTTCCTAGTGTCCAGGTGCAGTTCTCGTTGGGACTGAGCTGCAGGATGAGGGCTTTGTGGGCCTCAGACTGGCTGGCACCTCCCAGGCTGGCCCTGCAGCTGGATAGGCCTGGTGGAGACCACACAGGTGGCACTGAGGAGAGCAGGCAGCCCCTGCCTCCTCCGGGGCCTGGGACTCTACCCCCGCGCCCCCCCCCACCCCCGTGGGATGTGTGCACCAGCGTGCTGGTAATTGTGAACAGAATTCAGCTCACTCCAAAGTAAGCCACCAGTTACACTAAGTTTCCTTTCTTGGACCCCTTGGGCATAAAGAAGTTGTGATTTCTATAACTATAGTGCGTAAAAGAACAAAGAACATATTAGGGCCTACAGAAAGGTGATTTTAAAAAGAAGCTTTACATCTAGAATACATAAAGACCTCTTATAACTCGATAATTAAAAGACAGCCCAATTAAAAATGGACAAAGGACCAAGACAGATATTTCTCCAAAGAGGATGTCAATGTCCAGGAAACACATGAAGAGGTACCCAACATCATTCGTCCACAGGGAAAGGCAAACGAAAACCGCAGCTGGTTCCCCTTCACACTGATTACGATGTGAAATGAAAACTGGACTCAGAAGGGGAAACACCAGGTATGGGTGAGGATGTGGAGGAATCGGGACCCGACACACTGCTCATGGGGGTGCAATACGGGACCGCTGCTGGGGAACGGTCGGAAGACCCCTTAAAAATTAAAAACAGAATTATCATAACCCAGCCATCTGTTCTAGGCAGATCCCCAAAGGAAATGAAACGTATCGCCACACAGAGACGTGTATACTGAGGTTTGTAGCAGCGCCACTCAAAGTAACCAATAAGTGAAAACAACCTAAGTATCCATCGACTAGGAAATATTTGATAAATAAAATATGGCCTACCCATACAATGGAATATTATTATTTGGTTGGAATGAAGTGCTGATATAGGGCACAGCATAGATAAACCTTGTAAACATATTGTATGATTTATTTATATGAAATGTCGAGAATAGGTAGATCTATAGATAGAAAGATTCGTGGTCGTCTTGGGTTGGGGACATTGGGGGAAATGAGAGAAACTGTTAATGGGCACAAGAGTTTCTTTGGGGGGTGATAAAATGGTTTTGACCGAGTGGTGATGGTTGTGCAAGACTGTATATACTAACAACCACTAAATTTACATTTTAGAGAAGTGGGTTTTAAGGTATATGAATCATATCTCAATGAAGCTGTTATTAAAGAAGAGGAGGAGGAGGAGGAGCAGCAACAGCTATAACTGAATGGGAACCCAAAAATCGAATACTTCACAAAGGAACCTGATTAATGGTTAAAAACTCCAGTTAGAAATAAAGGTTATTTTCCATTTTATCCATGACACATAAGTGATATTCTTATAACAATAGTGTTTATTTAGCTTTCCCTAACAGTAACTATTACTATTATGTTTATTAGTAAAGAAATTAGAAAGCAAAGACAACAAAAGAGTATAATTCCATCCACCCAGAAACAAATATAATTAAAAACTTCTTGTACATACTTCCACACACTTTCATTTTCTCTACTTGCTAATTTTTGGATACTCAAATGTATACCTTTTAAATATAAGCACCATCCTATTTTACACATTTCAGGTAGATTTTTTTTTCTTAGAGTAGATGCTAGGCATCTTTCTCATAGCTCAGTCTTATCTTTAAGAAGTTGCCAAAGACTATTTCTTTGTACACACTTACCACACCTCACAGAACAAAGGATGGAAATTTACATAGCTTTTAAAATTATGTCAATGCATAGTACATACATCTTTGTACACTTCCATGATTATTGCCTAAATATTAATTCTTAGTAGTGGAATTACCTGGCAAACTTTTTTAATGCTTTTTCATTTTTATGTTTGATGTCATATGGGCCTAAAAAAATGTGAGTGCTGATTCAAAACCCCATTGAGAGCATATGTATAAATATTCTCTGTTTTAGGGCTAACGACAGATGTTAGATATTCAAAAACTTTGGGCAGAGGCCTCTTGAAAGGAGGTCTCCCCTACTTTGATTGAAGAAAACGAGTCCAATTTCCTTACCTTCAGACTGGGTCCCATTAAACTCAGCCAAACACGACACAGTTAAAAGGGTCAAAGGGATGAGCCTCCTGGCGGCCTCCATCTTCAGAAGGGGCGGGACAGCCCAGGGGGCCAGCAGGCTTTTATACTTCTCTCCCCTGCCTACCTGATATCATAAGCTTCTGCGTGACCTTCGGGCGAATGAGTCAGTTGGACCATGTAAGGGGTAGATTTATGTGAGAACACAGCAGCTGTGACCAGGTTAATATCAGTGACCCTTAACAGTGTTTGCTCTTCTCAACCCATTCCCGGGAGCTCTGGGGATAGCACCCAGCTACAGCTCCTGCCAGGGACCTCCCATTACGGGCACACAGTGGGCGCTGAGCAACTCCTCCTGGCACTGATTGGGATTTGGGCCTTTACCCTGGGATTTGTTTAGATCACCAAAGGGGTAACATCCTTGGCACCTTGAGCCTTTCTTGCTCTTCCCTAAACATTAAAAGCCTTTGGGCGTCCAAAGAATCAAGTTGGGGCATGGGTTGCACCTGGGCCACCTCTGAGTCCAGCTAGGTCACCCTGGTGCCTGCCTGGTGGCTGACACTGAGGGAGAGGAGGAGGTGGCACAGGATGGGAAGGAAAAAGAAAGTACAGGTCCAGGTTCAGCTTCTATGAGTTTCTAGTTGGTTATGCCCAGAGAGCCTGAGTGGGTGAATTAACGTCCTGTAGGCACTGTGTTTTACAGATGAGAGAAAGGAACCCTGGTATCCAAGGTGAGACCAGAGCTGCGGTGGCAGGGCCAGCACCTGTAACTTTCATTCATTCATTCGTTCATTCATTCAACAACTATTCATCAGCTACACGAGAAACACAGTCCTGACCTTGTGGAACTTATCTAAGTGGGGGAGACAGACAACAAACAAAAATAAATTACAAACAGTAAAAGGTGATATAAATATAATAAAACTGCTTTGAGGGGTGGGGAGGTGCAGTATTAGGGCTTTGAGAAGATGAAATGTGAGCATATGCAGAAAAAGATACACGTGCGTGATCTGGGCTTAAGGGATGCATTTTAGGCAAAAGAATGGCAGGTGCAAAGGCCCTGAGGCAGGAACCAGCTGGGCACATCTGCATGATAAAGGAAGTCTGGTGAGTGTGGCAGATATGAGTGAAGGGGAGGAAGGTGGGAGATGACAATAAAAAGGAGAGAAAGGTCATGGTCAAATGGTGAAGAATTTGTAGGTCAGATGAGAAGTGTGAATTTTACTCTAAATTCAATTAGAACTTTTGAGCAGGCAAATGACCAGTTTTTAAAGAGTCTTCCCGACAGATCTGTGAAGGTAAAGGTAAGTCTAGACTGGGTCCTCTGGGTTGAAACCCTTCCTGGTTGTCCTCCACCCTTCTGTGATGTGCCGACTGTCCTCATGCCCAGACCCCTCACTGGGCTCCAGGATACTGGGGCTGGAAGGGTACAGGCCTATACTATGACCCAGGGGAATCCATTCCAGGTTGGGTTCCTGGACCAGGTGTTGGGGTCCATGCCCAGTGATGCAGTGGCAAGACCAGTACCTGCGACATTGACAAGTTGTGGCCTCAAGGAGCTGGGACATGGACCAAGGCACCCACATAGCTTCACTCAGGAGCCTGCTGGTGACAAGAGAAAATTGTGGCTCAAATAACACCTGAGACAAGGCTGAAAGCAGTAGACTCCAGGAAAAGAAAAAAATTCCCAGGGACTCACAGACAGGTCACTTCCAGCAAGGGAGATACGGCCTTGAATTTGACTCTTAAAACTTGTACTGGGGCTATTCTGTGAAAGCAGCTCCACTCCCACTTTCCTTCAGGCAAATTTCTCCGCACTGAAGCGCTGAATAGTCCCTTATCAGCCAAGCCCTTTACTGGGGGCTGAATCACAGCCAGGAGCTGGCCCCTTGCAAATGCATCATTCAATTGTTTGCTCCCTGTCAGCCTAGAGGTAGCAGGGGTTTCCTTCATCTATTCCTGCTCTTCTTCATCCCTTTTACTAGTTCATTCTTTATGTTCAGTAAAACAGGATGCTCACAAAAGTTTTGGTTAATGAGAAAATGCACTTACTAGGGTGTCTGTGATTAGAAAGGGGTTCCAGAAGGCCCAGTGGAAAGAGCAGAAACAGAAGGGGGCTGACGAGCTGAAGTCGAGAGGGGTGGGCCCATTGCTTATTGCTGGGATCAAAAGAAACTGGGCTTTGAGAGTCAGCAAATGTTCCTATCAGCAATTAAAGACACTGACGGATGAGTCAGCAAAAATCCGTGTTACAAAAGAAATACGAGGAGGAAGAACTCGGGAGATTTGCAGTGCCCAGAGGAGGAACTGCAGGTTTTCTAAAAGCCCTTTACACCACTGAGCCCAGCCCATCATTACACAGATCAGGCCACCTAGACCCAGACATGTTCTGCCTGGATGTTCCCTCTCTCCCCCAGGTTTATGAAGTTCACTTTCGGGACAATGGAGTGTAACCGTCTGTCGCAGACTAGCGGAGCGAGAGCAGATGAAGCCCCGGAGGAGAGAGCCTGAGTGAACCGCTCACTCCAGCCTGGGAAGGTCAGCTGGGTCTGAAACTGGAATCGCTCAAACGTCAATACTCATTTTCCTTCTGGGGCTGGGGATGCGCTCCATGTTTCTGTCTTCTACTCTCTCTCCTTATATCACAAGATGATATTACAACCGGTTGCCAAATCCCACAGTGGCGAATACACAAAGTTAAATACATTTATAACTAACCACAAAAATACCAGAGGCAGAGGAGATTATCTTCAATGTTGCATTTATTCAGAAGTCCATAAATATGTTGTATAGTACATAATATACACATGATAAAACTTGAATAAAAAATTCTACTAAGAAGAAATATGTATTGCTCATGAAGATATTTGTGCCCACCAAGTCAGAGACCCTCGTTTACATCACAGAAGCATGGTGGCGAGGAATCACAGTTATCATACAAATTACATTCGTCACAGCACTGGGAGTTGAGATAGGACCCAGCAGTTACAGATGAGGCCGCGGCGATCTTGTCCCTGGTGACCATGAATGGATTATTGTTTAAGGCCAAACAAACAGGTGGCTTTGAGGCTCTTAAGAAAAGATAGACACACACATGGGATTAGAAATTTCTGCTTAGTCCATTTCTTACAAAGTCAAGGGTGTCTGAGAACTTCAGGACTGGAGCAGCCAAACATGTGACACCGGCCTGAGATGAACGCTCTCTGCCCCTGTCCCAAGTTCTTACCTGATTTAGTCCCCTCCTTAGATGGCTAGAAATGTAAAATCCGATTATAGCAACTAAGGGAGAGTGGATTGCAACTGTGGGCCACCCAGCTGGTAACTGCGGGCCCGCTAAGTGCAGAGCATGATGGGGAAAGTGCCAGAGCAGCTGTTCCCCAGGTTCTGGAATGTACCTTCTAGCTCACAGGTGACAGGCTTACCTTCCCTAGAATGGGAACATCACTTCTTCTGACAACGAATCCTTCCATATTTGAAGGGTCCTCTCCTCAGAATTCAATTACCTGTCTGATCTACACTCCTTTTCAAGGTCCCCCACTCAGCTCAGCTTCCCCACAGTCTTACAGGCCCACTTCACTGTCCCCAAGGCCATGGGCAATGAGTGAGTGAACACGGTGAGAGCCCCAACTCAGTCAAGGGGAGACCAGCTCAGCCTGCCCTCTGAGTGTACGGGAGGCAGAGACTCAGGGACTCGGCCTGCCCGCAGTCTTCAGTCTGCAGTGCCCGAGGCGCAGGGAGGGCCCGCCCCTGGGGTGAGTCCAACAGCTGAGGGTGCACTCCAGGAGATCAGGGGACAGCAGGGAGCAGTGACACACAGAGCCACCTGCCCGCCGGGCTAAGAACTCTCCCCTGTGAGCCCACAAACCCAGGCCGGGAGGGGAAGAAGCCAAGGTCCTGTACTCACCTGCCTTTGCCTGTTCAGACCTGCCCTCTGCTCCTGATCCCAGTCAGGGAGTGGCCCCAGGGCAAGGAGTGGCCCTGCCCCGGCAGAAAGCCCCAGGTGTCCCATGGGAGGGGTCTCATTCACTCCCACCCATCACTCACCTCAATGCCTTGGCCACTTTGAAGTAAAGTGAGAAGACAACACCTATCAACAGGAGCATAGCCACCAGGATACCGCCACCAATGCAGAACATAAGTATCGAGTTGGTTTTAGAAGATGTAGCTTTATCTAGGCAGAGAAGTGCAGGCAAGCAGTGAATCTAGCTTCCCGCCCCCGCCCCCCAGCACACAGCAACCTCAATATGCTTCCTCCAGTGGAAGAAGAATGAACCCCAAACCATAGAGGCTTATGTGTGTAAAACACAAATGAACCTTCCCAGGGAGGCCCAGGAGGCTTATGGAGATGAGGGCTTATTTATGAATGAGATGTAACAAATGCAAAATCCAGAGGGAAGGAAGGAAAGTCGGAAGAACCTTCTCTCCTAGTCACAGGCAGTAACGTACAGCTGTAAGGAACCAACAGGCCTGAGCCTGTACCTGAGCCTGTTGATTTGGGAGGAAATGGTCTGCACATCAGACTTAAAAATCTTCTATGAGAATGTGTAATAAAATAACTTTTTCAAAATGTTCAATAGTGAAAATACACAAATCCATTTTGTGATATATGTTTTAGGAAATAAGTTTCCAATTCTCCCACTGACAACTGAGTCCTAAGTCCTGAATCCTCCCAGGAAATCCAGTTTGACTGGACTAAGCAACTTGCCTAACCTAACTCCCAGAAACTAGGTCCAAGTGAGCCAGGAAAGAAGAGATGACCCCCTGCCGAAGCACACTTACGGTCTGAGGCTTCGTAGCTGGACAAATGCCAACAGTTAAAAACAATGACAATTAAAATAAACTTGAGGGAACTGTAGTACATCTTATCGGGAACTTCTCAAACTTTTACTTGAGAGAGAAAACACTAATTATCCTTGTGAGGAGTAACTGAGCGGAAGTTTGCAGAGCTCAGGTCAGAAGCACAGTCCCCACTGGAGCTGGCAGAATGGGCAGCCACCGCAGGGCTTCAGCTGGTATGCTAATTAGGCCACAGGCTGTGTGACATCAACAGCCTGGACAACAGCT